TGCCTTGTTCCTATCGATGTGTTTGTTCGTCTGTGTGCGGCATCAGATTGTGGGAGGGGGGGTGAGCAATGCACACGAGCAGTGGCTGCATCTGGTGAAGCTGCCCAAGGGCACGCCCATCCTGCCTGCCTCCATGAAGAATGATGCCGGCATCATCGGTGCCGCCATGGCTTCACTCGCTCGCTCCGTCTTTGCCATCCGCCACAAGCCACAGCAGGTGGAGGACTACATTCAGGCCTGACCGCACCCGCGTTTTAAACAGGCGACGCACGCAGGTTGTTTGGTATCCACTTGCCTGGATCAGTGGTGCTGCTTTGTATTGTTATTGCATTAATAATGACTAATTCCAGATTTCGGCTACAACAGGACTGCACCAAGCTGAAGAAGATTCGGAAGAAGGAACCACCAATAGCATGTTTGAACGCATTGACGACCCACAAGACAATACCAAGTCACCATCACCGAGACATGGTATGAGGCAGAGCCACCACACCTCCATTGCTACCATCTACTGCGAGTGCTGCCACAGCTACCCTCCCCTCCACTGCCCTCTGGTGCCATCATGCCCTGCCCCTCCACCTCTCCCTCCTGCACGCCTGCCCCTGCCGCCCCTCCACGCACGGCAATAAGTGACGGGCCCAAGGCAGGTGGTGAGGCAGCGGCAGCGAGGGGCACAGCGGGCAGAATGGCCTTGAGGTTCTGCAGATACTGAGTCATCTCCTGATGGGGATGAGCAGGCACGGGATGATGGCAGCAAGAAGGCAGAACGGAGGGGTTGCGTAAAGTTCAGCAGCAAGGAGAAGCAGGGAAATGAGGCATGAATCAGGAGATTGTCTTGCACTCTGGGGCCTGACTCCCAACCATTGTCCTCTACCTACTCGTCTCTATCCCTCTCACCTCCAGGCTTCTCTCCAGCTCTGAGACGCGGGCTGTCTTCTCTTGCAGCCGCCTCTCTGTCTCCTGCAGCCGAGCCCTCAGCTCCCACGGCCCCCCCTCCACCACCATTGCCTCACTCTGCATTAGGAGGAGGCAGAACACACACAGAGGGGCACAGGCTTAGGCTTTAGGGTGGAGAGGATATGGAAGAGGCAGGGACGACAAAGATGCTCTGCAACACGCGTCCCCCTCGAGGATGCTTCTCACTCTGTGCTTCCCTCACCTCATCATCTCCTTGCACGCCCTGCTCCCCATCCTCCACCTGTGCTCGCCCCCCAGCCTCCTGTGCTGCTTGCCTAGCAGCTTGCGCCTCTGCCCTGGCCTCCTCCACAATGCGCATTGCTGCCACCGCCTGCACCGCCGCCATGCCTGCTGCCATCTCCCTCTCTTCCGCCCCCACCTCACTCCCCCTCGCAGCCTCCATCCACCTCCCACCACTGCCCACGTTCCTGAACCTCAAAGGCCCTCCCCCCACTTCCTTCTTCCGCGCCCCCCTTCCACTTGGCCAGGTCGTAGTCCCCTTCTCCTCCTCCTGCTCGCCCGTCTCCCTGCTGCCCCCTGCCGCCAACTTCCCATGATCACGCAGCCCAGCTGCCACACCCACACCACCCACCATGTTCCGCCCCTCACACCCAGCTCCTGCCCTTCCCGGCCCCTCCCGTCCCCCTTCAGCAAGATTTGCTCCATGATTCGACCTGTGTGGTTGAATCAACGAACCCTCATTCAAACTCCACTCCCCAATTCCTGCTGCCAAGCCTGCTGCCGGACCTGCAGGCTCGGCAGCGATGCTGTTGACAGCCACATGCAGCTCTGAGAGCTGCAGGCCTGTGAAGAGCGTGAATGGGGAGGGGGCGAGCGCAAGTGACGGCGAGCAGTGGGGAGAGGGGGAGGAGGTGGGATGGTGGAGGAGGAGGCGACTGATGAGAGCATCTGCTGTGTCACCGTGTGTTGCCTCCTGCCTCGCCCTGCCACCTGCTGCTGCCTCGTCTGCCCGCCCAACATCCCCCTCACACCCCTTGCTGCTCTCCTCGCCTTCCTGCTCCGCACCTTCTCGTGGCCCGCCTCGCCCTGCTGATCGTGCTGACCTTGCTGTCCCTGCTCGCCCTCCGGACCTTGCTGCCTCTCCAGACCTCTTGGACTTGCCTGACTCCACAACCTTTCCAACCCCTTCCCACCTTCCTGCCCCCAACTCACCACTTGCTACTGTGGCTGCCGCTGCTGCTGCGTCTGGTGCTGCTGCGACGACTGATGCTGCTGCGGTTGGTGCTGCTGGGCCTGCCCCATTGCTGGCTGCAGGGGAGGCAGCAGCGGGCCTGGCAGCAGGGGAGTGGCGGTTCACAGCAAGCTGGTCCAACAGGGCGCCCCTCAGCCTTCCCTCCACTTCGTCCTCCTCAGCATCTCTCCTCTCCCTACATCCGACCCCCTCCCTCTTCCCACCGCCAGCACTCTCCGTCCCCCCACTCTCACTGCCAGGGCCCACGGGAGCAACAGCTGGTGACAGCCGCCTGCCTGCCTTCCCCGAGGCCCCTTTCCCACTCGGCACTGTATCACTCCCTCTCTGGGTCGTATCCTCCAACCACCGCGCCCTGCCCTCTCCCACCCCAGTCTGCCTACCCGTGTGCCAGTGCACCGAGTTGTGGGACGACTCTGACACCTCCCCGCCTCCCCCTCCTGCCCCCTCTGCCCGCTCTGCTCTCTGATCTCTCCCGCCATCACTTGCCGCCACCCCCTTTGGATGGGCACCTCCGTCCCTCAGGCACATGCTGCCCCACGCCAGTGCACCACACCCATCGCCCGCATCCTTCTGCCCACCTCCTACGCCTGTCACCGCTGCCCCACGCCCCTGCACACTCGCACTGCTGCTCGCCCCCCTCTCCCCCTCGCCCTCCACTGCCCCCCCACCCCCACCTGATGTTGCTGATGCCACCACACTACCCACACCACCCACACTACCCACACCACCCACACTACCCACACTGCCTCTTTCCCTTTTTCTGCTCCCTCCCCTGCTGCCACTGCTGCTATCACTAGCACTGCTGCTTCTCTCTGTTTCCTCGTCGTCCTCCTCCCTCCCTGTGCCCTCCTCCACTCCCTTCCCCCGCTCCTCCCCTTCCTCCCCCCCTTCCTCCTCCTCCCCATCCTCGTCCTCCTCCTCCTCCACCAGCACCCGTAAAGCAACAGCCTCAGCCAGGGCCTGTCCGGCGCGGTCCAGCCACAACTCCTGCTCGCGGCGGCGCTGCTTGCGCTTCTCCAGCAGCTCGCTCCGGAGGGCGTTCGCCGTGGCCAGCGCCTTCTCCAGCCGCCGCTTCTTCTTCTCCGCCTGCCGCAAACGCTGCTCCTCCTCACTCCCCGTACCCTTCTTCCGCCCGCCCCCCGCCTTCGCCCCATCTTTCTGCTTAGATGCTGCTGCGGACGCGCCACTCCCCGGGGTGCCCCCGCTGCTGCACGCACTGCTCGTGCTCCCGCTGCCCCCTGCTCCCCTGCCCCCATACACGCACTCCCGCTTCCGCTGCCCTCTCTCCCCCAGCACCCCGCCTTGCTCTCCCCCCACCTGCTGGCCGCCCGATGCACACCCTGCCCCGCTCTGCCCTCTGTCTATTCGTCCCCACCGCCCCTCCCTCCCCCTCTGCCTCCGTCCCTGAGGGCGTTGATCCCTGGAAGCGCTTCCTGCACCATCACCATCACCATCACCACCAGCAGCAGCAACACCACCACCACCTCCATGGCCACCACCGCGAGCAGCAGCAGCAGCAGCAGCAGCAGCGCGTGGCTGGTGTGCGTCTCTGGGAGGAGCAGCAGAGGCGTTAGCGCCAGAACCCTCTGCGGACGTGTGGGGTGAGCAGTGGCTGCCATTTCCAACTGCTGCCGCTGCCGTTCCGCTCGCCTCCTGCGCGTGTGACAAGGCGTCCAGAGAGACGGCTGTTGGCGGCGCTGGCGGATGGTGAGAGGGGCGCGCACAGGGGGCTGCGCTCGACGCGGAGAGGAAGGGGGACGTCGCGAGAGGAGGGGCGGGGCCAACAGGAGGCGCGCGAAATCCCACGATGGCGCAAGGGGCGCGGATGGTGTGCTGCAGCACGTACGGGGAAAAGGAACCGGGGGGGCCGTTGACCAACGGGTAGGGCGAGTTTGGCGGGATTGACGGAAAGGGCGCGGGGTAGTACGGTATGGGATGCGCGGCACTGCCGCGGAAAGTGAGGGGCGGTTGGAAGGCCAGCAACGGCAGCGACGGGCCGCTGCGGCCAGATATCCCTGGCACTATCCCGCCTCTCGCGCTCTCTGCGCCGTGGGTGGCCTGGAGTTGGCCCACCTGACTCGGGGGCATCTGTCCGCGCGCATGGCTGCTCAACAGCGTCTGCGGCTGCGCCGGTGCGTGCGGCGGCGCATGTGATGGCAGCGGAGACGGCCACGCAAGGGCGTGTGCAGGCCACGCGGTACCATCGTGCGCGCGCTGTCCCGACAGCCCCGCGCGCAGCTGCACCTCCTCCGGTGCTGCGCCGCACCCCTCGCTGCTGTCGTGCGAGTGTCCGCTAAGACAATCTCGCTCGCTACTCATTGTTGCGCAACTAGTTGTGCTGCCGTGGCGCGCAACGAGCGCAACCAGCTGTTGGGCGGGTTACAAGGGCGCACAGTCTCACGGGGCCGTGGCGTTGACAGGTGGCGTTGACAGGTGCACAACAGTGGAACGCGATGCTTTTCTAACCGCCCTCTGCTCGCAGATGTCACGAGGCTTGTGTGTGACCCTGACCTTTCAAACTGGCAAGTCAACAGACGCTCAAGATGACAGTAGGGACACAACAATTTTTGGCGCCTCCCTGTGTGAGCTGGGTGACCTACACTCTTGATTCGTCACTTACCATCCCAATCCCGCAGCACCCAGTCAGGCCTCACTTTGCACCTTCTCTCGCACGTAGCTGGCTGATCGCACGGGAACGGCCATGGCCACAATTCCTTGACTTCATCACCCGATCGCTGTGACCGTTCCTCCGCAGTCGTACCGCACGAGCAACAGAGCCACCTTTGCGCATCGCATATTACCGTCTTTCCGCCGTATGGAACCCGCGCCGATGGAGTCTTTAGACCCTGGCGGGCCCTCTGCGCCCCTCGTCGCGGACGGCGCAGGAACAGCGCGCGCGAGGCCGAGCGGCGGAGTGGTGTTCACTCCGCTGTACGGCGCGCACGCCGACGAGCCGCTGTGCTACCACCTGCGGCTCGGCCGCCTGCACCTGCTGCTGGACTGCGGCTGGACCGACCTCCTCGACACGGACCTTCTCGAGCCGCTGCGCGCCGTCGCGCCCGCGATCCACGCCGTGCTGCTCTCGCACCCCGACATGGAGCACGCGGGCGCGCTGCCGTACGCGTACGCGCAGCTGGGGCTGCGTGCGCCCGTGTACTGCACGGTGCCGGTGGCGCGGCTGGCGCAGCTGATGCTATACGACCAGTTCCTCGCGCGGCGCAGCGCCGGCGACTTCGACCTGTTCTCGCTGGACGACGTGGACGCCGCGTTTGACGGCGCCGTGCGCCTCAAGTTCGCGCAGCCGCACGCCGTGGGCGACGAGCGCGACGGCGTGAGCGTGACGCCGCTGGCGGCGGGGCACCTGCTGGGCGGCACGATATGGCGGATATCCGTGGACACGGAGGACCTCGTGTACGCCGTGGGGTTCAACCACAGGTGCGCCCTGCTGCAACCACTCAACACCCTCGCTTCCCACCCTCCTCGCTTGCCATGCCCCTCGCTTGTCTACCACATGCAATACATGCTTTCTGCCCCAGCATGGGTCCCCTTTCCGCATTTGCAAAGCATGTGCGGTATGGGTGCTCACACATTCCCCCCCATCCCCGGGCGCCATGGCAGGGAGGAGCGCATACTGGGGCGCGCGGTGCTGGACACGGCCGTGGTGCGCCCCGCCGTGCTCATCGCGGACGCGGCCACGGCGCTGGTGCCGCCGGTGAAGCGCAAGGCGCGCGACCAGCAGCTGGCAGAGGCGATCAGCAGCACGGTGGGCGAGGGCGGCAGCGTGCTCATGCCCGTCGACACGGGCGGGCGCGTGCTGGAGCTGCTCGTGCACTTGGAGCAGCTGTGGGCGGCGCAGGGGTGGGAGGCGCCGGTGGTGGTGGCGACGGGGGAGAGCTACAGCATGGTGGAGGGCGCCAAGGCCATGCTCGAATGGCTCAACCCCTCCACTGCTCGCCACTTCGACGCCCAACGCACCTCGCCCTTCAACTTCAAGTGCCCCACTACCGCCCTCGCCCCTATAAGCCCATCTCACCCCCCTAGCCTCCCCTTTTATTCCCTCAACATTGTCATATTTCTTTCCTGTGATTCAGTCCGCACCAGCAGTGCACGCACAATCTTCTTTTTTTTCCCGCAACATGCTCCTCTCCGCGCCTCCATCTCCCCTTCTCTCCCCAACCCCCTTCTCCCCGACCACTTTCTCTCCACGGTACCCCCTCGTCCCCCCCTGTGCGCAGGTACATCCGGCTGTGCCACAGTGTGGAGGAGGTGGAGGAGGTGCCGGGCCCCAAGGTCGTGCTGGCGTCGCTCGCCAGTCTCGAGGCGGGCTTTGCTCGAGCGCTCTTTGTGCGCTGGGCGCCCGACCTGCGCAACACGCTGCTCTTCACCTCGCGCGCCCCGCCTAGCTCCCTGGCGCACACGCTGCAGACCAACGTGGGTGCGCGGCCACGTGGATGGCCCGATGCTCTCATGCTCGCCCGCCCCATCTGCTGCCTGCCCGCCTCCATTGCGCCTGGCGACCCTCCTTCCTTCCCGTCACACCTGTTACTCCTTTCTCCCCCCTGCCCGCTCTCAGTCCTATTCTCAAGACACCTCCCTACTCTCCCCATCCCCTCTCCCCCCCCACAACACACAGGACGTGCGGTTCCCAGTGGTGAGTGTGAGCATGAGTGAGCGCGTGCCGCTGGAGGGCGAGGAGCTAAGGGCGTACGAGGAGCAGCAGCGCCAGCAGCAGCAGGCCGCCATGGATGCTGCTAGGGGGGACGAGGGGGACGACGGGCAGGGGGACGGGGAGGAGGGGGAGGGGGAGAGGGAGGGCGAGGGAGGGGAGAAGGGGGAGGCGAAGGAGGAGGCTGATGGGGAGGTGCTGGATGGGGATGACGCAGGTGGGTTGATGGGCGTGTGAGAGCAGCTGCTGTGAGTGCGTGCATGTGCCCGCCCTACTTCCTTCCTTGGCACCATCTGGCAGTGAAATCATTCACCACCATTCGCCCTCTCTCCCCCACCTTCCCCCCACCACCAGAGCCTTCCCCCTTGGCCCAGCGCCCTCCATCAGACGTCTTCTGTGAGGGCTTCTCTCCGCTGCCCCTCGCACCCTTCCCCCGCACTCTCCCCCGCCACGCCGCCCCACGGCCACAGCACCGCGAGGGGTGGGTGGCAGGGCCGGTGTTCCCGTGGAGTGAGGGCGCGGGGGGCGGGGGGCGGTGCGACGAGTACGGCGAGGTGGTGGACGCCGATGGCCTGGCCGCTGTGGTCGAACACATGCGCGGCCCCATGCGGGTCAGTGGGGGGGGTGGAGTTGCCCAGTGCCCACACATGGGGATGTGGGTGTGGGGTGGGGCATGCGGTTGAGGAATTGAGAGGAGGCGGTGAGTTGGGTGTAGTTGTTGTGATGGGCGGTATGGAGGATGAGACGCAGTGAGTGGAGCACACAGGTTCGCTGCCATGTCAGCACAGCAGCGAGCAGCATTATTCTGATCATGTCCACATCAACTGCATACGTAGTTGCTCATCCCACAAGCTCTTCCCACTCCCATTCCCTCTACCCCCCTACCACCCTTCTCCCCACCTCTCCCCCGCCCCTCCCCCTGCTTGCAGCCAACGGTGAGCGCCATGGAGGCGGCGGGGGTGGACATGGCGGCGCTGGCGGAGGCGGAGGACGTGCTGGCGGGGCTGGAGAGGCCCAGCCGCGTGCGCGTGGAGCACGTCACCGTGCACGTCAACTGCGCCATCCGCTCCATCGACTATGAGGGGCTGGCAGACGGCCGCTCCCTGCGCACCATGCTCGCCCACACCCACCCCCTCTCCCTCGTGCGTCGCCCTTCCCACCCCGCCTCCTCTTCCCCCTTTTCCCTGTTGATCCCTCCGCATGCTTGTATCCCCGCCTGCTCGTATTTCCAGCTTTGGGTGTCTTGATGAAACCTCTTGTTCCGTCGTCTAGCCCTTTCCCCACGGGGTAACCCCTTACCTTCTCCCCCACCCATGCGCCCTGTGGAGGGCGGTGCGATGGCAGGTAGTCGTGCACGGCACGGAGGAGGGCACGGCCGCCATGCAGCAGGCGGGCATCTGCAGCGACTGCATGGCGCCCCGTGCAGGCGAGAGCATCGACCTCACTCCCCACCTCGCCACCTTCCGCGTGAGACCCACGTGCCACAGGACAGGGGTTGTGGAGGAAGGGGGGGAGGGGGAGTGTGGCAGATAGGAGCAATGTGTTGAAGGGTGTGGTGGTGGTAGGTTGTTGCATGGTGACATGGTAAGTAGCATGCATAGGTACGTGGGTGCAAGGTGGGTAGGATATGGCTGTTGCATGCCCTCATCCTTTGTTTCTTCCGCCCCCTCGCCTGTGCTGCCATGTGCCTCTGCGCCATGTGTGCTGGAGCGCAGGTGAAGCTGAGTGACGACCTGCTGAGGGGGCTGCCATTCCACAAGGTATGCACACCACTGCCTGGCCGCTCACTCGTGCTCTTGCACTGTGCTACCACTGCATGTGCACAGTACCTCATGCACGCACATGCATGGATGTGCTGACCATTTTTTCCCACTACCTAGAACATCTCACAGGCACACATGCCCAAGCACATACTGCATGAATGTTCTGATCATTTTTTCCCTACCCCAATGCCTGTACGCTCCCCTCTGTCTTCCCCCGTCTCCCTCCAGCTACGAGACGACTACGAGGTGGCATTCGTGGAGGGCCGCCTGCACCCCTCCTCCTGCGCGCCACCCTCCGCCTCGCTCTCCCTGCTGCCGCGCATCACAGGGCCCCCTCTCCCCGCACCCTCTGGGTCAGGAGCAGGAGGCCAAGGGGCAGAGGGGGAGGAGAAGGGGCAGGGGGAAGGTGGAGAGGGAGGGGTGGGAGTGGAGGGGAGAGGGGCGGGTGGAGGGGGGGCACGGGCGCTGATGGAGCTGGTGCCGCTGGAGGGGGATGGGGAGGAGGCCAAGCGGCGGGCGGTGATGGTGGGTGATGTGAAGCTCTCGGAATTCAAAGTGCTGCTGCAAGCTCAGGGACTCCAGGTACCCTTGTCCTGCATGTTGCATAGCCAAGGTCCATCCTTCAATGTGATGCCAATCGTTGTTGTGGGTGCACTCTTAACCTTTTTACCGCTACATCTCGTTGTCTTCCCTGTGCTTTCTTGATTCAGGCTGGGTTCGTTGAGTCGGTTCCTGTAGCAACAGCAGGATCTGCTGTTCTCAAGTGTGGCGATTCTCTCGCTCTAAGAAAGGTGAACTTGCCCCACTGTTTCCACTAGAAGCACCACCTACTCCATTCCCACTAACCGGTGATTGTGATGTTTGTGCAGGTCCCAGACCACAGGCTTGTACTCGAAGGCTCGCTGTGTGACGACTACTACAGAGTTAGACAATTGCTGTACTCTCAATATTCAACATTGTAACTTGACATTTCTATTGTTGGCTTTTAGTGGAGCGCAGCTGCTTTATAACGAGGTGTAAAATTCCAGTACCGTTTGGGTATTCGTACGGACCGTCTCAACTTCATCTGCATGTTCGTACATTCACTGAACCTCTAAGAACAAAGTGCTTGCGAGACTAGCGACGTTCCAGTTAGTTTTCGTATTCGTTGTTGACATCCAATTTGAACATCGCGCATGCATTGTCTCGGCCGCAACATTGCCTTGCTGGAAGAGGGTAACAGCAAGGCGAGCTCCAGTGCCATTCCGATTCCAACCTTGCACTACACGCGCTAAGTGTGAAGGTGGGGATGGCGAAGAGTTGGACCAGTGCAGGTGGCTTCCATCAGCCATGGCTGTGCCGTTGCCGCATTACAGTGAACTGGTCGACGACCAATGTACTCGAGCAAAACGACTAGAGTGAGAGCCCGCGGCGGTGTTCTAGCAGTGTGGCGGACTCAAGCGTCGCGTGTCCAACTAATTCGCGTGCCACGGGCCCCACGGTTCGCACAAGGCAAGTACGCCGCCACCACACAGAGTCAGGCGCGATGACTTCACTGCCATCGCGCGACGCGACGTCCAACGGCCAGGACGCAAGCGCTGCTGCTAAGATAGCGAGCTATTTAGTAGCTCCCGAGATTACAGAAGCCTACGAACAATCACTGACGCAACAGACATTCGCCTTCCAGCAGCACCAGTTCAGCGCCTACACTGACCTTCACGCCTCACGCCTCACCGCAGCCAGCCCCCCAGCGTGCCGCCTGGTCTCCCCATCCCCGCAAAACTCGTTCCTGTCATCCCGGCCCCACTCCGTGCGCGTCTCCTCCCCGCCGCCATGGCGTCGGCGGCCTTCCCCGCGCTCTCCTCCACTGTGGCTCCCGCGCCCTCCGCCCTTTGGTCCGCCAACCTCACCGTGAGTTTTCCAGCACTCCCCAGTCGGCGCGCGCTCTCCGCTTCCCCAATCTGCATGCTCTCTCCGCTCTTCCCCCATCTGCATGCTCTCTCCGCTCTTCACCCATCTGCATGCTCTCTCCGCTCTTCCCCCATCTGGGCGCACTCTCCGCCTGCAGTACCCTCTCGAACTCGGAGGCTGTTCCTTCTGCCAGCGCCTTGCTCATCTCCGCACCCCGTGCTTTCTTCCCCCTCCTCCGCCCATCGTTCCGTTCCCCCGACCCCAGGCGCCGTACCCAACGAACGCGCCGTGGCAGAACTTCGTGCTGGGGCAGGGCAGCAGCCCCGAGCTCGTCACGCCGTACATGGTGCAGAGCGCGGAGGGGCGCGTCGCGTGGGGGCTGCCGGTGCGCGACCCGCAACCCGGGTACATCGTGCAGGCGTTCGTCACCGCGCTCATGCTCTCCACGCTGCAGGGCCTCCCCCCGCACCAGCTCTCCGCCTACGACGACCTCTCTGCCACCCTCTCCTTCCGCCAGCCCTCCTCCGCGCCCTCTGATCCCCCCGCGCTCGAGGTCCCCCTGGTGCGCGGGTCGCCCTTCCTCACGTTCATATTCCCCCCGGGCGGCCCCCCAGCGACGCCCATGCTGACGACGATCCACGCCATCACGGGAGTGGAGGCCAGCAGCGACAGCAGCAAGTACCGCGTTGCGCTCAACAACGGCCAGGTCAGCCCTCCGCGCCATCCACGCCCCTTCGCCACCCAGCGCCTGCCGCCGTCCCCCCCTCCCCCTCTGGAACCAGCCCCATTCCCGTGTCTCGCTCGCCATAATTCTTACGATTTCCCCCCTCCACTTGCTCACTCCCCGTACTCACCTCCTCCTTGCGCGCGTGTCCCCCCAATCCCCTGCGCCTACACCAGACGTGGCTGGTGTACCTGTCGTCGCCACTGGCGCTGCGGCAGGACGGGGCAGCGCTGGTGGCGGATGCGCCCTTCACGGGGACCATGCGCGTGGCGCTGCTGCCCGGGACCTCCCCGCAGGACGAGGAGGCGGTGCTGGACGCGCACGTGCCCACGGTGCCGGTGGGGGGCAGTGCGCACGTGGGCGAGTTCTCCATCGAGTACACCTGGCGCACCCAGCACTGGCGTGACCTGGCTGACCGTGACACCGAGGCGCCGCTGCTCATGCTCTCGCTGCCAAGTGAGTAGGGGCGTGCTGCCATGTGTGTCACCATGTGTGCTGCTGTGTCACCTAGGAAGCCCTCATCATCTGTCCGTCAAGCTAAATCCCTTCTCCCTCTTTCCCCTCTTCCCTCTTTCCCCAACGAGCAGTGCACCGGCGCATGGAAGTGAGCGCGCACAGCCTCTCCACTGCCTCCGCCCTCCGCCGTCGCCACAGCGGCTCCCCTTCCGGCGTCATGGGCGCCCTCCGCGGCCACCACAACCCCGCCTCTGCCCACCCCTCCATTGCACGAGGCAGTGCACGGGGGTCGTCCGTGCGAGCTGCGTCCGTGCCGGATGCATCAGTGCTGGCCTACCCCAGCATCGACGGCCAGGCGGGGGGCATGCAGGGGGCGGTGTGGCGCCTCAGCGTGCCCAAGCGGCCGTGCACATGGGAAGCGGGGCCCCTCTCGTCCGACGCACAGCTGCTGGACGAGCTCAGGGCCAGCCTCAAGCAGGACGTCGCAGCGCTGCCGCCCCTCTCCTCCACCTCCACCTACTCCTTCGGCAAGGCAGCTGCGCGTGCCGCCCGCCTGGCACTCGTTGCGAAACAGGTGGAAGACGAGGACAGCCTGGCCGCCGTGCTGCCGCCCCTGCGAACCGCGCTCTCCGCGTGGCTGGATGGCACCTTCCCTGGTAACCGCCTGCTGTATGATCCCACTTGGGGCGGCGTGGTGAGTGAGGCGGGGTCGCGTGACCAGGGGGCGGAATTTGGGGCGGGCATGTACAACGACCACCACTTTCACTATGGCTACTTCATCTACGCCGCTGCCACCGTTGCCCAGTTTGATTCTGCATGGCGCGACCAGTACGGTGCGGCGCTCAAGGACCTCATGGCGGACTACATGTCGCCGGAGCGTACCGCGGCATTCCCAAGGCTGCGGCACTTCGATGCGTACGCGCTGCACTCGTGGGCCAGCGGGCTGTTTGAATTCGGCGACGGGCGCAACCAGGAGAGCTTTAGCGAGGCGGTCAATGCATACTACGCGGGGGCGCTGTTGGCCTCCGTGTTGGGCGACCAGCCGCTCGCCACGCTGGGCGCCACGCTCGCAGCCGTGGAGGCCCTCGCCGGGCAGACCCTCATGCACGTGCCGCTCGCCTCGTCCAATCCGGACCCCTCCCTCTCACCCGGCTACGAGGCGGTGTTTGCGGACGGCAACCGCGTGGTGGGCGTGCTGTGGTCCACTAAGCGCGACGCCGCGCTGTGGTTCGCCCCGCCGGCGGACATGGAGAAGCGCGTGGGCATCCAGGTGCTGCCCGTCTCGCCCTTCCTCAAGCACCTCTTCCCCGACCCTGAGTTTGCTAAGCAGCTCGTGGAGTGGGCACAACCCGTGCTGAGCGGTGCCGCCACGGACGAGTGGCGTGGCTTTGCGTGGGCGCTGCAAGCGCTGTACGACCCGCAAGGGGCCAGGGCGAACATTGCTGCTCTAGGTGCTTTTGATGATGGCAACTCCAAGACCAACATGCTCTGGTGGCTCGCTTCCAACATGCCATAGCTATGCGAGGTTGCTCATGATGGATTGATGTTCGTGCATGTACAGGATAGGTCACACAAAGCCTTATTCACATGTATAAACATCCCTATTTATACTCATGGTGTTGCTTTGCTTTGTCATGACCTGCCTCCGGCTGCAATCTTTCCCAAACACAATAGCCATCTCCGGATGCAGCCACTTGGAATTCTGTCTCGTTGGGAGCCATGTCCCCAATGTCATACCGCGGGCCTATCTTAACAACCAGCCTGCCGTCGATGTCAGCCAGATAGAGATCGTCCTCTGCAGTGATGATGCTGCACTTGCTCTTGGAGTGCACCCCGCTGCGCTTTCTGATGGCCAGCAGCGCGTTGATGGCCTCCTTGTGGCCCCACTCGTAGTAGTGGTCGTAAAACTGCAGCACACGACGAATCATTGCGTCAGGCCATTAGTTCTTTCCACCTTGTCAAAATACACGTTGCTGTGGTACCTTGAGATGAGATACTCACCACGCAAGGGATGCCTGGGTGCGTGAGGATGTACGCATAGCCCTGCATCACTTTGTCTTGAGGGAAGGGCCAGTGGCCTTGCGTGGAGCCGGTGTCATGGTTGTCAATGAACGTCACTGCTCGACTGGGCCAGTACCCAATCATCCCTGCACACCACATTCACACGGTTAGAGACTCATCCAGAACGACACCTCTCATCCACATTCAGCAGCAACACCTCTCTTCCACCCACCCACCAGCAGGCTTGTTGTTGGGGTCTCGGAGGCGCCACAGCTCGCCCTGAACGGCCTCCTGCAGGATGCCTTTGGTGGTGAAGTCGAAGGCGGTGGAGCGGCCGTCAGTGGCGTCCACCCAGTCCACCAGCTGCTGCCGGTGGCTGTCCTGGTTGTAGTCCGGCTTCTCGCCGTCGTAGTTCATCGTCGTCCACAGCTCCCCCACGGAGAATGCGGGCGACGTCGCGTCGCAGTACTTCCCCACGAACTCGCCTGCGAATCCTTTGGCGAAGTCGAACCGCCAGCCGTCGAAGCCGACGTCGTTCTTGAGCCACAGCATCCACTCCGTCAGCTCGCGCTGCACGCGCTCGTTCGTGTGGTCGATGTCAGGAGCCGCCGGGAAATCCTCGCCAGTGTCAGGACGGCCATGGCCGCCGAAGGGCGAGTCGCCCTGCGTGATGGCCCAAGGCCCCCAGTCGAGGCGGTCGTCGGGCGTGCCGCCTTCGAAGATGGTCCAGCAGCCGTGCTCGTCCTGCTTGTCGCCGCACCGGTGGTTGATCACGATGTCCGCGATGCATCTCACGCCCGCTCCGTGAAAGCGTCCGATCAGCTCCTTCAGTTCTTCCTCGCTCCCGTAATGGGACTCGTCAAGGTTGTACAGCTGGCTCGGCATGTATCCTGCAGGTAGGTATATCGGGTGTGAGATGCTTCGCGAAGCGCTGGCAAGTAAGGTCACTGACTCGTTGCTCACCTTGAGGAGCCACTGACTTGCTGGGAGGTGGTAGCCAGACGTCCGTAATTCCCGCTGCGGATAGCTCTCCTGGCAGGTCCATGAGTCGCTGGTACCATCCTTCGTTGCAGTTGCACGATTCCCAGTTGAATCCCTGAGAATGACGCGGAAATGAAGTTAGAGAAACGATTGAGGAAACGTTTTTGAACGAGCAACAGGCGATGCTTTCAATTTATCCGACCTGAAAAATCACTACTTCTGTGGGCTTGACATCAATCTGTTCAGAGTGTTCAGCCGTTTCACATGGTGCGGCGACTTCCTCCTTTCCGGTGCTGACGGCTGCCATGACCGGACTTGCGTTCTTTTGAAATTTCACCGGGTGGCGGCTACCCAGATTTAGTGGCGTGATGACCCACGTTTTTTCTATTTGAGACTTAAAGTTCCTTGGAATGCTAGACTTCGTTAGCAATGCGTGCGTGCCATGCGATAAGACTGTGGAAGTGATGGAAGTGGATACGAGAACGGAAGTGTTGTGAGAGCAGAGAAACTTGTAAAATTCTAGAGACGAATTTGAGGAATTTATGTGCGAGCTGGTCTCAAAATTGCCGCGACTCGACCAATCCAATGTTTTGTTGAAATAAAGCGAGGATCCCAGTCACGGGGACTGGCGCTAGCGCCGACGAATAGGGTGGGAAATGATCATATTGGGGCCGAACAGTGCCAGAGGGGTGATCAAAGTAGGACCGGAAAATCTCGACCGTAGGATTTCAACCCGGAGCTGCCCACACGGCTGGGCGAACAAGCCGAACCGTGAGTTGAGAATTGCTGAAGAAACCGAATTGCATGTAAAACTTCTTCAATAAGGGTTTTGACCGCCGTCAACTACAGCGCGCGCGTCGCCTTGTTCTGGAATTAAAATTCGGCGTGTCAAATCGTGAGTACGTAACAACATATTTTATTATGGGTGATACATATCACCAACGCGATCGAAAACGCACAGTAAAAAAAATATTACCCATTCGGAAACGGATGCGCCTCGGGAGGCATCAACCCTAAATACCAGGAAGGTCCCCTTTTTTAGGGTTGATCCATCCCGAAACTGCATCCAGATTCCCTATGGGTTTTAGTTTTATTTTTTGCTGCCCTAGTTCCCAGCAGAGTCGGCTCGCTAAACGACACGCGAGCGAAAATGCGAGCCAGTGCATGCCACTAGTAACAAATTACGTGCAATAAACGAGATCTCTCTGTTAATATCTTTTTGTGCAGCGGTTTGGTAATTTTCGGGCCTGACGGCCCTTGGTCGATCACCCCTCTGGCACTGCTCGGCCCCTGCATGATCTTTTCCCGAATAGGGTGGCTTTGCTGGTTGTGTTGACGGTGGGCCGTGACGATTGGCAGCTCCGACATCTGTAAGTGCGCTGGACGTGCCACGTGGGTGTAAGCGAGGTTATTGACGGCTCAGTTGACGAAATTCAAACAGCTTTGCGTATCCATTTTCGCAAGCTTCGCACAAATCCCCTTTCCCCATTTTGCTCCGCACTCTCAACATTCCCCAGCCACCCTCATCCATCTTCCCCCTATCCGCACCATTTGCGCGCCCATTCCTGTCGCAACGCGCGCCGCTTTACCGCCGCATCCTGCTATCCGCGCTTAGCGCTCGCGTGCAATGGCAGGCGCCCCGCCGCCGCTGCACCCGGCGCTGGAGCCGATAGCTTTCATGCTGGGTCGATGGCGTGGCGAGGGCGAGGGCGGTTACCCGACCATCAACTCGTTTAGATATGTTGAGGAAATCACCCTCACGCATGCCGGCAAGGTGAGCACCGTCGCACGCTGCCTCGCTCCCAGACCCGGCCTAGCTTAATGTCCCGCCGTTCTATCCACCCATACCTCCCACCGCCCCCTGCCTCCATTTCCGCATCTGAGTGTGCCGCCTACCCCGCCCCGCGCATCCCTTCCGCGTCTCCCGCTGCAGCCGGCGATGGCGTACGCGCAGAAGACGTGGCGCGCGGAGTCGGGCGAGCCGATGCACGCGGAGAGCGGGTTCTGGCGGCCCAAGCCGGACGGCACGCTGGAGATCGTGATCGCTCAGAGCACAGGCCTCGCTGAAGTGCAGGTGGGCTGCCGCAAGTTTCAACTGAGATGTCCCGTTTCCAAAAATTCCCACTGCCTGAATTAGCCGGCCATTCGTTACTGGAGGTCGACTACAGTTTTCCTCTTAATGCCCTTCTTTCCTGACACCCCTTCCTCCTAACTCCTCCTGTCATCGCTCTGTTTCCACCCCTGGGGCACTTCCCCCGGCGAGCAGAAGGGCAGGTATGACGCGGAGGCCAAGACAATCAACGTGGAGAGCGAGCTCGTTGGCAACGCCACCAAGGTGCACCGCCGCTGCCTCTTCACCCATCCCCTTCAATCTCCCAAGTATCTTCGTGCCTTCCTCGTCCCTCTCGCTTTCCCCATCTTCATCCTTCATCCCGTCACCTCACCTCCTTCCTCCTCGTCTGCTACGCCCATGACCCCCTTCACTATCATGCACCATCATGCCTCCTCATCCCGCGCCTCCCCTCATGCCTGTTGTGCGCCACGGAGGGCAGGTGCGGCGCATAGTGAGGCACTTTAAGCTGGAGGGCGAGGGCATCCTGGCGTACACAGTGGACATGGAGACCACCTCGCAGCCCATGCAGAAGCACCTCGATGCCCGCCTCAAGCGCCTTGATTGATTCTACACCAGTTGCTCACTGAACCCTGCTTCAGAAGATTATTTAGCAGAACCCTTAGCTTTCTGCACCTGCAATCATGTGTATATGTTTAGCCCATACCATTATAACTGTATTGTGAGCCGGTACCCTACCAATTGTGAAGGGAGAATAAATTTATTGAGAGCCTGTCAACATCATTCCCATGGCAGTGCAGTCATGCAATGCTCTCATCCTCCACATCAAACCCTGCACCCGTCCACTGCCCATCCCCTCCTGCCTTGTTTCCCCCCTTGGCAATCAAACCCCTCCCCCGCCCTCTGCCTCTCCCACGGCTTATAGACAGTCGCGCTGCTGGTGCTGCTCCCCCATCCGCTCCTTTACTGCCATTTGCTGCTGCTGTGGCGCCAGAACTACCTTCCTGCCCTTGGCTCTGCGCGTCCCCCTCTGCCCCCTGGGCTTTGGGGGTGGTGGCAGGAGCATCAGCTGTTGACGCGGGTGCCGTGCTGCTGGTGGCGTCCACAGGGGAAGCTGATGGGGCACACGTGCCCTCGGCAGACGCAGGTGCTTCCCTGCCTTGCGCTGCCGGATCAGCATTCGATGTCTACAGATATGAACAAACAACACCAGGGAACACGACTTTTGAGTAGTGACGCACACGATGAGCAAAAAGCAGAAAGACGATGAGCAACAACGAACAGAAAGCAGACCGGCATACACATGGAAGGGTAGAGAGCAAGCTGGTGGGAAAAGGAAGGGAGGAGCAGGGCGGAGAGGCTCACATAGACGGGGAGGACGCCGTGGGGGGCGATCTTGGCGCGCAGGCCCTGAATGGCCTCCAAGGCGGGTCCCCTCATCTCAGGGTTGAGGGCGTCCAGTTTGTGCGTGAGCGCCTCCAGCCGCTCGTACTGCTGCAGCGCGTTCTGCTGCACCTGGCGTTCGCAGCATGCAGGAGGGTGGAGGGGGCAGCAGCAAATTGCGGCAGTGGATGCAGCATGGGGGATGCAGGTGGGGGGATGAGGACAGGCAGGCTGATTACAGTGGATACCCACCATGAATGCATTGAACGTGGAAAGGTGTCAGGATGGAAATGAGTCCCTTGGCACGAGGGGCCTTACCATCATTCTGAGGTCATCACACAGCTGCTGCTTCCTCTGCTCCTCTTCCTCCACCAGCTTCGCTGCTGCCTCCCATACCTGCATGCACCCACAGGCCACAACTCGAATATCAGCTGGCTAGTCCTGTCCCGAACACTTCAGAATACTGTGAGAAACAGATTGGCGGTTCCTCAACCAGCTGCATACCCTCCCCCGTCCACGCACATCCGTTCCCCCCGCACCTTCTTGGCCTGCTCCTCCTTCTTGCGCAGCAGCCTGGCCTTCTCCGTGCTCTGCTCGATCTTCTGCCTTAGCAGCTCCATGCCCGCCTTCTTGGACCCCGACGTGAGCTTCACCTCCAGGTGCAGCGCCTCCAGCTCCTTCTCCACCGCCTGGATCTTCGCGTAGTTGTCCTGGATGATCCTGATGGGCCCCCCCGCCGCCACCAGACACACACGCGCGGCCGTTAGCATGTGAACCACCACGAGCATGGTCAATTCGGGGCATGAGAAGAGGCTCAGACTGCTTGGAGGGATTAGTGCAGATGGCTGGGATGGAAAGGATGCTTACTTTCTTAATGTCGCTTCTTTCTCTGCCAAGACCTGCATGTGCGGTTGGGGATTTTGTGGTATGTCAGTTTGCGGTATGTCAGAAAGCAATCAGGTGAAAAACGCATCAAACGAGGCAGTGAGAAGCCGACCTTCTCCGTGTACGCGATAACAGGGATTTCCCCGGCCACGCCATCGACTGTTTCTGCGACAAGCTTGCTGGAATCCATCTTATCCGGAAGCGCCACTGCCGCGCTCGAGGCTTCCGTGGCCATTCCTTTTAATCGCTACGCTAGTTTCGCGAGTAAGGTATGTTCGAGGCAATGTGAAGGGTAGGGCAGCAAGGGCCCGTGGCCTGCTCTAGGGGGTGCGATCAAGGCAAGGGGACATCAAATGCTCGACGTTGCCCTACAAAATGCACGCCGACGGTTTCCTTTCATTGGAGAAACTTTAGATGGTGTCGATCTCGCGAAATCCACGGTGAGGTGAGTGAAGCAAGTTGCTGTGGGCATTCTCAAACATCGATGCAGATCGTGGCTTTTTTTGTGAGGGAAACACACATGCCATGGTGTAAGCCAATAAAGGAGCTGAGTCACCGCTGGACTGGACTGAAATACACGCTTTTTTCAATGCCGAACTAGCACATCTTATATCTTGTGCTTAGCTTCCAGAATTCGTCACATCCATGTTTGTCAAGATCTATGTTCAGGTTCACTCACAAGAGACCCTCAAATCTAGCAAATCACACTTGTCAGTATGTGTGCCTACATTTCAAAAATTCCCTTCACATATACCGCTCCCTTCTCCATAATCTGCAATTCACGTCGCAACCGGTCAATGATTTCATCATCCCCTTGAAAAGTAATGTCGGTCACCTTCTCATCGTCAGAAGTCACCATCTTAACTTGCATCTGCTCCGTGCGACTAGATTTCGTCCAGTAATAAACACCTCTGCACCAAAAACAAAAATAAAGGAATAGAATTAAACAAGCCGGAATTCGAGCTAAGACTAGAGCGGAGGCGGTTCAAATGCAAATGCATATGGAAAATACAAACAGAAGCTGACAGCAGAATAACTTGGTAGAGTAAGAGAGAAGAGGGTGCTTACGCAAGGGGTGAGATGCCAATTATTGAATACCACCATTCACCAATCTCCGGGTTTGTAATGGTGAGCACAAGAGCCACACTTGCAAGGCTCAGAGCTGTGCAGAACACAAGAAAGGCTGCCTGGCTGCGGCTAGGCTCCAATTTCCCCTCAAATCTGCAGAATAAGAATTCATAGTTGTTGAATGGAAGACTAGGGAGAAGGGCACTACCTAACAAAGCACCTTGGATTTGCGCAATAACTATGGCACATATTGACATGTTTGTTAGTGAAGTAATTCAAACTGCTTTTGGACAACAAGCTGGTTATGTACAGGCATTCTGCATCGCATTGCACTGTATTTTCATGCATTGCACGCCTACGAGAGGAAGTAGTAAGAACTTACATGACGGTATCCTTCATGTCGATGACCTTGTAGTTGTTGCGTTGGAGGAACGCTGTCACCTCACCGGCCAAGACCGACAGAGGCTTCGCACCAGGCTCCGCAGGACCCGGCACCTCAAACGTCTTTCGCACAATCTGCCAAGCGAAGCACGCGATACTGATTCATCATCTCCTGATGCGCATCCCAGTCATCAACAGCATATGACAGGTGGCATTGGTATAGCAGGTGCTTGGTAGACGAAACCTAAGAAAAGAGTCGGTCAACCTTGGATTTTGTAGCGCGTTTGATGAGCGAATAAAGGCCAGGAAAGGAGATTATGAAGAGACCGAGAGATGCGTAGTAGCTTGCTGGAGAATACGATGACGAAAACTCCTCAGCCAACGCGGGGAACGCGGTCAGGCATTGCAGCAGAAACGGTGCAGATATCATTAAGGGAAGCGAGCCTAAGGTGTCATCAGCTTCGCGCATCAGACTAGTGGATGAAACGGGAGCGGGACGACTAGAAACGGCATGACCGACGGCTTCTGGCCGACTGTCGTTCGTCAGCGAGCACACGACTGGCCGTGTTGAAGAATGGCGTGCAACTGACCCGAATCGCGAAAGACTAAAACGGGGAGTCGGAGTCGACAGCGTCTTTTGCAATATCGTTGCTCTAATCTGCGTCATAGTGGGCGTCGAGGCGGTTGTTACAAGAGACGCCATGATACAATCCACCGAGTGACCAACAATCCACACGGTAAGGTGACCGGCGCCAAGCTAAAAATCCCTGTGAAGCGAATGGGAAATTGGGTTCTTGAATAGGCTCCAGAAACGAATTTACCGTGGATGTGGAAGGGGATTGGGGAAGGGGAAGTGACGGAACATCCGTAATGGAAGAGAAAGGTCTGAAAGCACAAGCCACGTAATCTGGAAACACCACAGATGATCGAAGGAGGTGCCACGTTGACAGTTTAGATACGCGATAACAGCAAGGTTCCTTCCCTCTGTTCCTACAGTACTTAAGGTAACCACCAACCAAACTGGTTAGCTTAATAAGATCCAACAGCAATCTCATGGGCCCCCTTTTGGCCAGCAAATATAGGCTAGACTCTTGCTTGTTATATGGTTACCCATCCGGTAGTAAACAAAAGCCTTTGCCCAACCTGTAGTTCATTCGTGAAACTTGCTATGTACCCTAGAGACTGGCATTGGCACTAGGACGCATCCTGCAGAACACAGCAGATACGCTAGCTTATAGAATGGCAGTGTAACTTGGCGCTATTGGTGAATAGAAAGCAGAGCTCACCTTGGTGCAGACATAAATATAGTGCACATTCCCACCCTCCAAGTCTTCGCCACTGGAGACCCACCGCCCATTGCTGCGTAATTTCATAGGCACTAGGGACCACGCCGGACATACCTCTGCAGTTGCTCCAGGCCTTGCTGCGAAAACGTACAGGTAAGATTCATGTTGAATCATTACGGTCCAGTAAGGCTACTATCTGTAGCCAGCTGAAAGCAAAATAGCGAAACACTCTTACGCAAGGCATGAACTTTGACGGTCCATTTCAGGCTGTCGACTTGCAGGTGTGACATGCGTACTTGCGGATCACCGTATGTAATCTGCATTGGACATGAAACTTACATGAGATGAGAGGAGAAATCTTGATACCTCAGAGATTATAAGCACCTTACCAGAAGAAACTTGCCACCAGGTTTCAACACTCTGCAAGAAATAAGCCACAATGTTGTCAGACATACTGTGAAGTTCAAAACTAGACTGTGCTCTGACGTCACTTTCTGCACACCTGCAGACTTCACTGAGCATGGCAGATGCATTTTCCACTGAATCGTTACCACACTGCAAAAAGTCTCAGTTAACGAGAAATAAGGACTCGGGTAAGAAATTGAAATGACAAAGGCGCAGGGTTAGGGAAGGTGCTGACCAGGATGGCATCCAGTGTCCCTGCAAGACAAAGGAACAGTTAGCCACGAAGAGTGTCTGGCGCACTACGAGGAAACTAAGAAGAAGGGGAGAACGTTGAAAGTTCAAGCTCCGGCCTTACCTTTGTCAAGAACCACATCAAAAGCAGACTCGTCAAACCCCATGGAACAGACATTCATCGTGTCATCTGGAGCAAGTGGGACCTGTCAGGATCATCTTCCGAACAGAGAGACGGAGAGTACAGCTGCAATTGATGGAGTTTATAGAACCAGACAACAGAGTAATTGATCAACTGACATTTTAGCTGCGGGATGGTTGAGTTCCTCTTCTTCATGTAGTCCACCACTACCTGCACAATTGCAATAGACATACGCCAGATACCGCGTTGGGAAAGCCATAGTTACCTCCAAAAGGCGAGCTAGAGAGGAAAGACTGGCATCTTCAGGAAACTCACTGAGGAGATGTCAATGTTCCAAATGTCTTGGTATCCATTCTGGATCATATCCTCTGAGAGAACTGCTCGACCAAGAAAATCGACAAGTTCCGTGCAATCTCCGTGAGTCGGTTACACGACACCACGGATCGATCCTGAGCATGTATTGGAACTGAAAGGAACTGACCTGCATTGCCGCATCCCACCATGAGCACCTTGGACGCTTTGTCCGTGTAAATATCAAATATGGGAGCCAACGCTGTGTACTGTTGGTACCAGTCAAACGTCTTCTCAGGCCCCTCCTTCTCATATCGTGCATCCCAGTAAGGCGCGTCTCCATACGATGGTGTTGAATATTCACCCATCAGGAGCAAAAGGTCGAAGGTCCAATTGAACCACGGGTCCCCCGCCTTCGATTGAAAGGCGCGTGTTTTGTGAAGGGAGATATTCGCAAACGTAGAGCGATGGGGTGCTACTCGACGCAAGCTTCCACCGGCTAAGCGGACGAGAGGTGCGTTCTGCGAAGCGAGACTGGCGGTAACGAGCATTGCCTCTTCAGTGCTGCTGGTTCAAATTGGCATCCACACAGGCATTGGGATCTCCATGCTTGTCTGGTTTGTTTCATTACTCCATCCCCGCTGTCACGGGCTCCGCTAAAGCACTTACAAATAGGCAGTTCATTTGTACAAAAATTCGAAGAATCATCCAACTTGACGGTGAATTGACAATTGCTGATTTTTTGTGAACAAATTTCATAACACCGCATTCTGTGCTCCACAATGCCATGAACGAAGCGTTCCGCGCACTCCTCGCGCTCTCTCAGGCACGGATCAACTCTGCGCGTAGGCGATTGTAGTACGCATCCACGTGCAATGGCTGCGCGTGGCGTGCAGGAGTACGTAGCGGCGGTGAGCCGCGCGGTAGACGCTAAGGACGGCGAGGCGCTAGCTGCGCTGTTAAGGGTGTTTCGGCCAGGCTACCCTGAAGCCGTCACCAGTGGGCTCGACCACGTGCGGGTACGCGTAGAGGCGCCAAAGCAGCTTCGTTCTCTGAGAGAAAATTCAGCTTTTAACAACTTCTCCAAACCTGCCATGGCTAATCCTCGCACCTCCCCTTGCGCGGTCCCCTGTCGCTCGCATCCTCCGCAGGACATGGCGCGTTTGCTCAGCCGAGTGCCGGAGCGGCTGGGCGAGATGCTGCTGCCGTTGATGCAGGCCATGGCCGCAATCCAACGGCACCAATTCACAGACGCGTTCGGGGAGATGCTGCAGGCCGCTAAGTAATGCATCGCCAGTGGCAGCATGCTCCCACCTGCTCATCTACTGTTGATTCATGGCTGTCCGCAGCATTCGCGCAATGCGTCCTGCGCTCCTATCGCTTCTCCTCTCCGCCTCCCCCGAGCTCGTCTCATAGCCATGTCTCCCCGCCGTGCCTCCCCCCCCCCTGCGCGCGCCAGTCTGTTTCTACCGGTGCTGCGCAACTGGGAGGGCACGTGGGCGCTGCCCCCGCTGCACGCGGTGGTGCACGACCTGCGCGTGCTGGCGGAGAAGGTAAGGCGCGCACACTGATACGGTCGAGGGGGAGGAGGGGGGGTGATGGGGGAATAGCGCTTATAGCAATGCGTTTTTCTTCTCGGGCTGGTTGCTGCGAGACAGGCAGCCATGGCTGCACGGCATGCTGGCGTAACTCTGCCTGCCTTTGCATGTTCATTGGTGTGGTGTGGCATGTCATGGCATGGCATGGCATGGCATGGCAGGGGAGCAGGCGGACATGGAGCAGAGGGCAGCGGGCAAGTCACCGGATAAGCTCAAGGCAGCAGCGTCGTTCCTCATGAAGGTCTTCGGCGCCATCGCTGTGAGTCGCCTGCTATGAGTGCCGTCACACGTGAGTCACCTTTTTGCGTGCAGTCACTCATTGCATGCAGTCACTAGTGGTGACTGATGCACCATTGCTGCCAGTGCGGCTTCGTGTCAGCCGCTCAGCAGCCTGGCACCAAAGGGTGGGCAGGGGCATTGCAGAGAGACTGTAGAGCCGGGCATCTCCTTTCTTTTTCTATACTTACCCACGGCTTCCTCCTCCCACCTCCTTGTCACGGCAGGGCAAGGGCCCTAAGAAGGTGGGGTCGCTCTATGTGGCATGCCAACTCTTCAAGATCTACTTCAAGGTATCCCTCTCTCTCCTTCCCCCTCACTCCCTGTCTCACCCAGCCCCCCATTTCGCATGCACTGTACAACTCCTCCCGCTCTTACTCTGTGCGCCGTTCCACACCTGTCTCTTCTCTTTGTGTGCATGTGCATATGTGTGGCCATGCGTTTTTAAATGTGTGCGCATGCATGTGAGTGAGTGTGGGTGAATGTGCATGCGTGTGTGCATGTGTGTGTGCATTTGTGTGTATGTGCGCACATGGCACGTGTATGTGCGCGCATGTGCACGTGAGCATGTGCACGGGTGTGTTGGTGCATGTGCATCGGCACGTATGCATATGTGCACCAGCTGGGGACGTTGAATCTGAGCAAGAGCATCATCCGTGTGATTGACTCCTCCAAGGGCTTTGATGACTACCCGGCCAGAGACCAGGTGTGAGCAGATGCGGGCAGGTGAGAGAAGGTGAGACCAGATGCGACCAGGTGAGCGCAGGTGTGACCAGGTGAGACCGGGTGAGTCCAGGTGGGACCAGGTGGGACCAGGTGTGACCAGGTGAGACCAGGTGAGACCAGGTGTGACCAGATGAGACCAGGTGAGACCAGGTGAGACCAGGTGAGACCAGGTGTGAGCAGGTGTGACCAGGTGAGACCAGGTGTGACCAGGTGTGACAGGGTGAGACCAGGTGTGACCAGGTGAGACCAGGTTTGACCAGGTGTGACCAGGTGTGACCAGGTGTGACAGGGTGAGACCAGGTGTGACCAGGTGTGACCAGGTGAGACCAGGTGTGACAGGGTGAGACCAGGTGTGACCAGGTGAGACCAGGTGTGACCAGGTGTGACCAGGTGTGACCAGGTGTGACAGGGTGAGACCAGGTGTGACCAGGTGTGACCAGGTGGGACCAGGTGGGACCAGGTGTGACCAGGTGCGACCAGGTGAGACCAGGTGAGACCAGGTGAGACCAGGTGTGACCAGGTGAGACCAGGTGTGACCAGGTGTGACCAGGTGTGACCAAGTGTGACCAGGTGTGACCAGGTGTGACCAGGTGTGACCAGGTGTGACCAAGTGTGTGCAGGTGTGACCATGTGTGACCAGGTGAGACCAGGTGAGACCAGGTGAGACCAGGTGTGACCAGGTGGGTCCACGTGAGACCAGGTGAGACCAGGTGAGACCAGGTGTGAGCAGGTGTGATCAGGTGTGACCAGGTGTGACCAGGTGTGACCAGGTGTGACCAGGTGAGACCAGGTGCGACCAGGTGTGACCAGGTGAGACCAGGTGTGACCAGGTGTGACCAGGTGAGACCAGGTGTGACCAGGTGAGACCAGGTGTGACCAGGTGTGACCAGGTGTGACAGGGTGAGACCAGGTGTGACCAGGTGTGACCAGGTGGGACCAGGTGAGACCAGGTGAGACCAGGTGAGACCAGGTGAGACCAGGTGTGACCAGGTGAGACCAGGTGTGACCAGGTGTGACCAGGTGTGACCAAGTGTGACCAGGTGTGACCAGGTGTGACCAGGTGTGACCAGGTGAGACCAGGTGGGACCAGGTGTGACCAAGTGTGACCAGGTGTGACCAGGTGTGACCAGGTGAGATCAGGTGGGACCAGGTGTGACCAGGTGGGACCAGGTGTGACCAGGTAACACCAGGTTTGACCAGGTGACGCCAGGTGTGACCGGGTGACGCCAGGTGATGTGTCGTGAAGTAGCTCCCCTCCTTCTGCTCTTCCGACTGTTCTTCTCTTCCTCTTTCTCAAATTCCCTGTTTCTTCCTGACAGGTACTTCCACCTCCTCTCTCACCCTCATCCTCTCATGCCTGCTTGCCTGTCCCGGTGCCGCCTGTCTGCCTCTTCGTCCTCCTGGTGTATGTGATGATGCTGCTCCTGCCTTCTCCTTGTTTCTCAGGCTGCACAGCAACAAGTCTAAATCCTCCCTCGCAAGGGCTCCGTCAGTTTGCTGTTAGCTTCTCCTAGCTGCTTGCCTCCTTGGTTGGGAAACGAATTGCAGTATTACGAGAAACAAACAAGCAAAAAGCACGGAGCAGGTATCCTCCCCTGCCTAAGTCCCAGCCATCCTTCTGCCTAGGTTGCTTGTCCCACAAGCTAACTCTAGTTGCCAAGTCGCATAGCAGCAGTGCTGCTCGCGATAGCTTCTAGGTGCTAGCTGGGTCCCAGTGGCCCCCTAGGCATGCACCGACTTCCAGCTGGAATTGCATTCTCTGAATCGAATTCCCAGCCTGGAACCGAATTCCCAGCCTGGAATCGAATTCCCAGCCTGGAATCGAATTCCCAGCCTGGAATCGAATTCCACCCTGTCCCCACCAAATTCCTCGAGCTTCTCCACCCTGCTCGGCTCCATATATGTACAGTACATTCCAAGCACACAAACGAAAGTATGAGTACAAGAACCAAACAGCAATATAGTACAACCTCACCTTAAGCTGCTGTGCAATTCACACTTAGCCGCAGGCTATGTGTTAATAGCGCGACAGCTGTCGTGAAGTAGCTCCCCTCCTTCTGCTCTTCCGACTGTTCTTCTCTTCCTCTTTCTCAAATTCCCTGTTTCTTCCTGACAGGTACTTCCACCTCCTCTCTCACCCTCATCCTCTCATGCCTGCTTGCCTGTCCCGGTGCCGCCTGTCTGCCTCTTCTTCCTCCTGGTGTATGTGATGATGCTGCTCCTGCCTTCTCCTTGTTTCTCAGGCTGCACAGCAACAAGTCTAAATCCTCCCTCACAAGGGCTCCGTCAGTTTGCTGTTAGCTTCTCCTAGCTGCTTGCCTCCTTGGTTGGGAAACGAATTGCAGTATTACGAGAAACAAACAAGCAAAAAGCACGGAGCAGGTATCCTCCCCTGCCTAAGTCCCAGCCATCCTTCTGCCTAGGTTGCTTGTCCCACAAGCTAACTCTAGTTGCCAAGTCGCATAGCAGCAGTGCTGCTCGCGATAGCTTCTAGGTGCTAGCTGGGTCCCAGTGGCCCACTAGGCATGCACCGACTTCCAGCTGGAATTGCATTCTCTGAATCGAATTCCCAGCCTGGAACCGAATTCCCAGCCTGGAATCGAATTCCCAGCCTGGAATCGAATTCCCAGCCTGGAATCGAATTCCACCCTGTCCCCACCAAATTCCTCGAGCTTCTCCACCCTGCTCGGCTCCATATATGTACAGTACATTCCAAGCACACAAACGAAAGTATGAGTACAAGAACCAAACAGCAATATAGTACAACCTCACCTTAAGCTGCTGTGCAATTCACACTTAGCCGCAGGCTATGTGTTAATAGCGCGACAGATGGCAGGTGAGCGCAGGTGAGGGCAGGTGAGGGCAGGTGTGGGCAGGTGAGGGCAGGTGAGGGCAGGTGTGGGGCAGGTGAGGGGCAGGTGATACGTGGAGCATTAAAGCAGCAGCAGTCTATCAGTGTTTGGAGCCCATTGCATTTCCTGCTGGTGCTCACGTCCCCTCAACCCTCATCCATGCGCCCACTCTCGCCCCTTGTCCTGCACTCGCCCCTCCCTGCTGTTTCTCTCCGCCCCTGCACTTCCCACTTGCACCCCCTACCTGCACCCCCCACATGCGCTCCCAATGTGCTCTCCTCACGTGCGTGCGTGCAGGTGACCTACAAGTACTACACAGGGCGCCTTGATGTCTTCAACGATGCCTTCCTGCTCGTATGTGCCCGCACCTGCCATGCTCCATTCAACCGTTCCCGCACATGCCACCTCATTCTTCTCCCACCACTTGCTTCCATGCGCCCTCTTGCCCTGCCCATACACACCCATGCCTGTCTGCTTTGTTAGAATCAGCAACCATTCTTGCTTGCTCTGCCGCCCCCACCACCCATGCCGTCCCAACTGCCCATCCACCCCCACCACCTGTGCCATATGGTCGCTCGCAGGCAGATGAGAAGCTTGGCTTTGCCTTGAGGCGCTGCCATCGCTCCAGACCATTCAACATACGGTCTGCACCTCGCTCTCCCCGCGTTCCTCCTCCCTTCAATTTCCGTCTCCCCTCCTCGACTCCTTTATCCCTTCTTTCTCCTCCCTCCCCCATCTTCCCTGCTCCCGCTTCACTACTTTTGTGCGTTGCTCCCTTCCACTGTCCGTGCTTCTCCCTTCACCACCCCACCATCCCCCATCGCTCCTGTATCTGCGCACGCAATCGCTCTTCTTCTACCCATGCTATCTCCATCACCGCTCCTTCCTCGGCCCTTCATGTTCCCTTCACTTGTTGCCCACCTACCCCTCAAACCCCTCCCTTTTCTGCACCCCCCTCCTTGTAGGCGCATTCTGCGCTATCTCATTCCAGTGCGCCTGTCACTGGGTCACCTGCCCTCGCCTGAGCTGCTCCGCAACCACCATCTGCAAGAGGTGCTCCCCTACCCGCCACCCCTCGCCCTCCGTTCCCTCACTGCTCGATATTTTCTGCTCTGCTCTCTCTGCTGCTGCTCGTTTCGCCCTCCTTTACCTTCCGCCCACCCCTGTGCTTGTCCTCCGCATGCTCCCGTTTTCGTTCCCTGTCATGTCACTTTGAATTCGTGTCCATCCCTCAAGTTTGTATCACATGCCTCATGGCTGCACGGCATGGCATGGCATGGCATGGCATGGCATGGCATGGCATGGCATGGCATGGCATGGCATGGCATGGCATGGCATGGCATGGCATGGCACATGGCACATGGCATGCGAGCAGTATGAGGGAATCGTGCAGGCCATGCGAACAGGCGATGTGCGGCTGCTGAGAGACACACTCAGTGCCAATGAGGACAGGTGCGCTCCCTGTGCTGCGCTTCCCTGCACTGCCTTGCACACCCACGCACTGCCATCCTCGTCACCTTCTCATCGCATCACTCCTCCCACCTCCTTGGCCACGCCGCTCCCTGACCCACGCCACGCTCACCGTCGTTCCCTGCTTTGCCATGTTCCCCTGCTCCTCGCATCCACTTTCACTCATCATGCCGCTCCATCGCTCGCACCCGCATGAACCACCAATCCCTTCCCACTCTCACACCTGTGTATGTCCCCCACCACCACGGACCTCTCTCCATGCATGCCATAGCACAGGTTCCTACGCGCGGGTGTGTATCTGCTGCTGGAGAAGCTAGAGCTCCATGTTTACCGCCGCCTCATCAGAAAAATGTACCACACACTTGCCATGCCATGATGCTATTGCCACGCCGCACACACCATGCATCATCCCCTCCCTGTTCTAGTATTGCTGTCATGCCCAGCCATGTCCCATTCATCATGTCAGCTCCCTTTGTTGCCCCATCTGCCATCCTTATCACAACCTCACTCCTGCCAGCACCAACCCCATCACCCCTACCTTACCCTCCCTATCCTTCTCCCCTTACCCCTCCACCCCTCCTCCCCCTTTCCAGCCACGTGTTGCAGCGAGCCAAGGACCCGGCGCGAGCGCACCAGGTGCGGCTGGAGGTGGTGGTGCGGGCGCTGGCGGGGCGGGGGGTGGCGGTGGACGTGGACGAGCTGGAGGGGCTGGTGGCCACGCTCATAGCGCTGGGGTTCGTGAAGGGGTACCTGTCGCACAAGAGCAAGGTCGTCGTGCTCAGCAAGCAGGACCCCTTCCCCCGCCTCACCGGCCGCGTGCTGCTCTGACCCGCCCTGGATGGTCCTCTCTGTGCCTTGGGGATGTGTCTTGATGGATGTGGTTTATGCGCACTTGTGTTTTGTGTAGCATTATGCCAAGGATTATTGAGCAGCTAATGGGAAGTTTTGTTGACAAATACTACCGTCATCGCCCGGATATAGGACATATACCGTATCCCCCCGGATATACCCCCATGGGGGGCAATAATAAAACAGGTTTTTTCATGGGGGTGGGCTTATAATCGAGTAAATTTATAAGCGCCGGCGTTTATAAAATGACATACACTTTTTTTATATCTTTTAACACCAAACTGTAGGTCTCGTGCTTGCCTTTTCAATCGAGTCGAAGTTACATGGGATCGTCTGTGAAATTCTCGCGCGCGCTGTCACCCAATCTGACTCACATCCAGCTCCTGACAGGTCCTGCTGACTGGACCCGCATCCAGTGCAGGGTCCGAATGTGAAGGGAACCGAATCTGCAACATATCCGCCTGCTAAAGTAAAAATCGTTACAGCTTTTTGAACACATTTCAAATTTTAAAGTTTACGTGCGCTTATAATAAAACAAGTTTTTCCAAGGGGTGCGCTTATAATCGAGGAGGGGATATAAGCGCCATATGCCAATTAGAAGCGCCAGGCGCTTATCCTAGGGTGGCGCTTATATCCGGGGGGAGACGGTATGTCTTATCTCGTACACGGGCAAAAATGCTTGAGTTATCTTGTAAACGGGATGGTTTAGGGTGTCTTATAAGTCTTATAAATGGAAAACTTTTTAAGTTGACTGTAACAATTGCAAAGTGTGTAGAAAACACTTAGAGGCCAGATTCATTGAAACAGGCCGACCTCAGTGGTGATGCATGCAACGCCCACACTTGCCACGTGAGGGAGCTGCCACCGCCGGCAATATTCATCTGTGCTGGCAGCATCTAATGATGCTGCCAGCGTCATTTTGCTGCCAGCAGCGCAGGGATGCTTCCAGAACGCTGCTGGCAGCACGTTGGCAGCGTGAGGGCTGTCCTCTACGAGGAGATGCCTCGTAGAGGAGCGGCTCGGCACCTGTGGATGGGGCACTCTGGCTGGGGGGGGTAGTCAGCCTCTCACTTCATTTGGTGCTCAAGGGTTTATGAATACTCGTCTCAACCTTGCTCTCGGCAGCAGGGCCCTAGATATCACACTTGGTAGTTTGATTCAGAGTCCGTTCAGACTTTTTTTTTGTACCTAGTCTGAAGTCTAAGAATATCTTTATGTACCTTGACTGATTTTTCAGAGTTATGCTTTATGAGTTGTCTGAAATTTCAGCCTAATTTTATTAGTGTAGGCTGAGCCTCATACTTGTATCGGGGGTGCCCCCTGTGTTGGGCTGAGATAGCCCCTTAGGATCTTTGCAAGGAATAACTCTAGGTGAAGTAGTTGTAATAGCGGAAGCGTTTAGTGAAGAATTTGAACCGACCTTGCACTGGTGTGTGAGAGCAAAGTTGATTGAATTAAACAAGCAAATACAAGGATTTATATAAGAGTACAGGGAATACGAATAGATATGTAGATAACTGTATTGCTGTTGCGGTTCGATACAGTGCGACTCGGGCAACTGCTCTGTAACGAGTCAGTTGTGTGTCCTTAACTGTCGCGCTGTAATTGTCGAGTCAAAGGTCAGCGACCTTTGACTTTCTCGTAACCTCCAGGCGGTTACCCTAACCTCTGAGGTTGACTCGATGCTTCGATTGGGACTGCTTCGCTTGGTGCCTTGGGTTTTGATACGACAGAAGCGCACTTAGGACTTATTGTTTCCAACACTCCCCTTCGCTTCTGGAGTGTCGCTGCTGGTGACGTGGCCTTGTCCAGTCAGCATCATGCAGTATTCGAACTTCTGCTTTCCGAGTTTCTTGGTCAAGTAATCGGCTGCCATCTCGGATGTTGGGCAGTATGACAGATCGAGTTTCCCTTTTTCTATCTCGTCCTTCACGAAGAAATAGCGCAGGGCGATGTGTTTCGTCCTGTTTGCGAAGCCGTTTTTGTTGGCGATGCGAATTGCTGACTGGTTGTCGCAGAACACGGTGAAGCTGGGTAACTCGGCTAGCTTCGCTTCTTCCAGTAGTTCGCGAAGGTAAAGTCCCTCCTTGGTGGCTGAGCAGAGTGCAATATATTCTGCTTCTGCTGAAGATAGTGCGATTAACTCCTGCTTGCTCGACTGCCAGGAGATAGGACCGATAGGCTCAAGGCGGTAGACATAGCCGGTGCGTGAGCGCCTGTTGTCGGTGTCGCCGGCGTGATCGGCGTCGACGTAGCCGATTAGCTTAGTTGGTGTAGCTGCGCTCTTGTGGTAGGTTAGCCCGATCGTCGCGGTGCTGACGAAGTAGTGGAGAGCGCGATCAAGTTCCGCCAGGTGTTCAGCTTCAGGCTTCTTGAGATAGGTGGCGAGCTGACTTGCGGAGTAGGATAAGTCAGGACGGCAGGTGACGGCGGCGAATAGCAGGCATCCGAGCTTCTTCTGATAGTCGCGTATGCCGGCGGGCTTGAGTAGAGTAGTTCGTTCCTTCTCGGTTCCTGATGTGTAGCGGTAAGGCGTGGAGATGGCGCTTGGTGTGAGGCTGAAGCGTTTCGCGATGGTGTCGGCGTATTTCTCGGCGCTTAGATAGATGGCGTTTTCTTCTTCGCGGATGTTGAGCCCGAGGTACTGTGTAACGGTGGAGGAGACCGTGAGCGTGAGGTCTTTCTGGAGCTCTCCTTCGAACCACATGGCGATGCCGTCGGTTGACCCAATGTAGAGGAGATCGTCCACGTAGACGATCAGGAGAACGTAGTCGCTTCCCTTAGTGAGGCGGTACATGCCTTGGTCGTGAGGTAGTTGACTAAAGCCGATGCGGATGAGACGGGCGTGCAGGTACTGCTGCCACAGTCGCGGTGCCTGCTTGATCCCGTAGAGCGACTTAAGTAGTTGACAGATTCGGTTGGGTTCGCCGTGGGAACCGTGCGGGAGCTCGACGTAGATTTCTGCATCCACAGGTGCGTAGAGGAAGGCATTCGCGACGTCGATCTGCCGTAACTTCTTCTTCTTCATGGCGGCAATGGCGAGGAGAATTCGGAGTGACGTGTGGCGGCTGACTGGAGCAAAGGTCTCGGTGAAGTCTCGTCCTTGCTCTTGGTCGAATCCACGTACGACCCAGCGTGCTTTGAATTTTTCGATCGTGCCGTCTGCTTTCGTCTTGATGCGGAAGACCCATTTCCCGGTAAGGATGGTTTTGTTCCGTGCCACGCTTACGGGAACAATCTTCCAAGTGTTGCGTTCCTCTAATGCCTTCAGTTCTCTATCCATGGCTTCGCGCCATTTCTCCCTGTGTTCCCCCCCCAGAGCCTGCTGAACCGTTGCAGGCTCCTTAGGAAGCGAGCTGCGTGTGTTCCCGTGGACTGCGGTGACGAGGCCGAGGATTTGCAGCCCAGTCTGTGAGTATCGAGGGAGTTCTGGATCTTCGGGATAAGCTGCTTCGTCTCCCGCTTCTGGATCAGGGATGAAATTCGGTCCTATCCTTTCTGCTTCATTTGTGTTGACGGTTGCAGGTGTTACGTAACCGGTGTCGGCGAAGTGGTAGAAGACTTCGGCGTTGTTACTGTCGCGAGGATTTTCTTCGTCCATGGGCACGTTGACGGAGCAGTACGGGAGAGGTCCGGCTTCTGCCGATGCGTTGTCAACATTCTGCTCGTCCCAGTCTGCTTCATCCGCTGCTGACGCGAAGGCTCGGTCACCACGAAAACCACTGGTGAGGTCCCGATTCTCGTGCAAGTTGGCGAGGTACGTCTGAAGGGTGAGTCTTTCGTAGAAGATCACGTCACGTGCTGCTACTGTTTCCTTTGTGTGGACGTCGAAGATTCTCCATGCGTTGTAATTTTTCTCGATGCCGAGGTGTAGTCCCCACTGTGCCCGTTGCGAAAATCTTCCCGCTCGTGCTTCTGGGGGTCTGTACTGTACCATGCACCCGAAAACTCGTAACATTTTCGTGCTGCCCTGCTTCCCTGTCCACAGTAGATGCGGTGATGCGTTGTTCGGGAGTGACGACGACGACAACAAGTTGTGCAGCATGACAGCGTGGTCCATTGCTGCTGGCCACTGGTGGTTGGGTAGCCGCATGCCACGTAACAGTTTGCGCATGCTGTTCTGCAGGGTCCTGTTCAGTCGTTCTGCAACACCTTGCTGCTGATGTGCGTAGGGAAGGGAGAGGAGTTGCTTGATCCCCCTTTCCGCCAAGAACTGCTTGAAGCGGTGAGAGATGTACTCGCCACCTCCGTCTGACTGGAAATTTTTCAGTTGTGTTCCAGACTCTCTCTCTGCTATCGGTAGCCAGGCGGCGAATGCTGCGAGCGCCATGTCGCGGCTGGGTAGGTTGCGATGCCAGACGTATCGAGTGGCGGCGTCGATGAAGGTGATGGTGTAGTTGAAGTTCACTTGTCCTGGTTCGCGATTGTAGAGGATGTCGCTGTAGACCTTTTCGAGTGGTGCGTACGCTGGAGCGCTCGGGTTGTGATGTGAAGCAAACGGTCGATGAGGTAAGTCAGCTTCGGGACATATAAGGCAAGTCCCTCGTGCCTTCTGGAGTTCTCTGCCATCGGGTAGAAGTAGAGAATCTTTGTCAAGGACTCCTGCTCTTATCGTGTTATTCAAAACCGTGTTGCTTGGATGTCCTGTTCGTGCGTGCCAGATCTCTTCAGAGGCGCGGTGTCCAGGTGAACGCTGATATGCGTCGGAGTTGGAGTAAAAGATGGCGACGAGGTTGGCGCTTCGGTGGACTTCACGTTGAGTCGGATTCAGCTGTTGCGCGGGTGTTGGTGGTGCTTCGTCGACTGTGACTGGTGTCGTTGTTTCTGCTGCTGCTGATGTTGTTGCTGCTGCCGATGTTGTTGCTGCTGATGCCGATGTTGTTACTGCTGCCGATGTTGTTGCTGCTGATGCCGATTGTCGAATTGTTGCTAATGCTCGTGTTCGTTCTGCTTCAGGAATGGTGTGCGAGTACCAGAAGCCTCCCGGGCTGAAGTCGGGGTCGAGATCCGGAGGGTGTGTCCAGTCAGTGAAATTCACGATGGCGTCGCTGTCTGCAGTGCCCAGGTCAGGAACGAAGTCGAGGACGAAGACGTTGTTCTTCAGCACTGCTTTTCCGATGTAGAGACCGCCTCTCCCGTGGTAAAGCTTGAACTCCTGGGTCGTGCTGTCGGCTTCCAGATGAATTCCTTTTGCCATCAACTGGCTAACGCTCAGTAAGTTGTAGCCGAGTCCTTCAGCGATGAGTACCTTAGACATGTGCAGTATGACGTTTGTTTCTCTTGACTGAAGCTGTACCACTCCTTGTCTTCGTGTGCGCAGGTTTTGGTTATTGGCAACCGTGATGATTACTTCCCGTTGGAGTCGATGTTCGCGTTGTACGAAACGCCCGGACGAGCACATGTGTTGCCCGCAGCAACTGTCCAAGAACCAGGTGTCTTGGCCGGACGGTTCACTTTGAGCGATGGCGGCGTACGTTGGATTCGGCTGGAGTAGCTCACGGCGAGGCGTTCTGTTGTCAAGCTCTTCTTCCGGTGAGTAGTGTGGTGGTGATTCGGTTGTACACGAATCGGTTATCTTCGTCATGTAGTTGATTATATTTCTTGCTCCTCGTGCAGGTTGTCCGGGTGAAGTCGTTGAAGCTTGAATAGTGGTCGTCGCACTTGCTTGTGTTGAGGCCATTTGGGAGCTTGAAGGTCGAAGTTGTCGCTGTGGTGCCGTTGATTGCTGACGATTCGGGCAGTGTGTGCGCGGGTGCCCTGAAGTCTTGCAGATGTGGCAGAAAGGAGGTACTATCTTCGGTTGCTGCTGTCGGTTGTTATAATTGCTGTGTCGTCGTTGAGTGTGGAATGCGAACTCTGATACTGTCGTTTTCTTCCTGTGTCGTTCTTCCTGCAGGTCCATATCTTGCTGCTCGGCATGTAGTTCGGCGCAGAGTGCAGCTTCAGAGATTCTTCCGTGGGCTCGAAGAATGGCTTTGGTGGCGCGCCACTGAGGACCAAGTCCACCAATGATGATTGTCACGAAGGCGTCTTCAGAGATTGACCCTCCGCATCGAAGCAGCTTGTCGCGCAGTTCGCGACATCGGCTGATATACGCCAGTCCTTTTTCTCCTGGTTTCATTTCGACTGTCGTCAACTGCGCCATTAACCTGCTCTGGTTTACACTGTCTGTTGCTTGATACAGGTTCTTCAGATGGTTGTACGCGAGCTCCGCCGAGTTGCCGAAGGTCCGGTAAGAGCGAATGTTCTGCTGCTGAGTTGGTGTCACGTTCCTCAATAGGATTGTATACGCCATCATTGATTGATACGTATACTGCTGCTTTTCATATTGTGTCCCGTTGGCTGGATACTGCAGGGACCCGTCGAAGAAGCCGAGTATCTGCGCGCCCTCCATCATCAGCTCGAATTCAAAGGACCAGGTAAAGAAGTCTTTGCCGTCGAAGGGTCTTGACGTTTGCAGTTTTAAGACGTGTGCAAACTGCGACTGAACTTGAAGTGCGTCCAGTGGTCTTTCTTGTCCAGGTGAAGGTTGCGGGTGGGGCACGAAGCTGATTGACCCGCGCTCGTACGGAGCAAAGGTAGGTTGCTGCTGCTGGTTTCCTCGCGCATATGACGACCCATCAAGACTCATGGGTGTCGCTCCGTTGTTGCTGTTGTGTGTTTGTGCAGGTCCCGACTGCTGGTGTTGTTCGTAGAAGGACATGAAGGAGAAAAATTTCTCCATCATGTTCTGGTCAAAGTCCGAAGGGTGGTTCATGGGGGTCTCGGTTGACGTTCCTCTTGGTCTTGTTGCCGTGCCTTCTTCTGTCTGCAGGCCAGAGGCTGGCGGTGGAGTAGGAGTAGTGCCCGAGGAGCCATTAGGGGAGCTTCTTTCCTTGTTTGTTGCCATGTCTTGTGATGATCTTAAAAGGAGTAGAGTTTCCCTTGTCAGCTCTCATACCATGTTGGGCTGAGATAGCCCCTTAGGATCTTTGCAAGGAATAACTCTAGGTGAAGTAGTTGTAATAGCGGAAGCGTTTAGTGAAGAATTTGAACCGACCTTGCACTGGTGTGTGAGAGCAAAGTTGATTGAATTAAACAAGCAAATACAAGGATTTATATAAGAGTACAGGGAATACGAATAGATATGTAGATAACTGTATTGCTGTTGCGGTTCGATACAGTGCGACTCGGGCAACTGCTCTGTAACGAGTCAGTTGTGTGTCCTTAACTGTCGCGCTGTAATTGTCGAGTCAAAGGTCAGCGACCTTTGACTTTCTCGTAACCTCCAGGCGGTTACCCTAACCTCTGAGGTTGACTCGATGCTTCGATTGGGACTGCTTCGCTTGGTGCCTTGGGTTTTGATACGACAGAAGCGCACTTAGGACTTATTGTTTCCAACACCCTGAAACCCGTAATACAGCGGTTTCTGCCAGCCTGGTGGCGTGTAGCACTCACCGTCAATCACGGGCGGGAAGCCAAAATTTCCTGAGCGCGGCACCGCAAACTCCCGAGCAGGGTCCTCGCTAGGTTTTGAACCCCCCTGATGCGTCAGATGGGCCCATTGGGCACACGCTTGCCCTGTCACACCACTTTTGCCCTCTATCACACCGAAGAGTCAACCTGTCAGGGCAAAAATCCGCCCTGTGAAGGAAGAGATTTGCCCTGCCTAGGGTGAAGTGCGAAGGTTCGCCTTGTACAGAGTGAAGAGATTCGCCCTGTACAGAGCGAAGTGCGAAAATTCGTCCTGTCAGGGTGAAGATTCTAACTGTCAGGGCGAAGATTCGCCCTGCCTAGGCAGAGATTTGCCTTGTCAGGGTAGAGATTCGCCTTGTCAGAGTAGAGATTCGCCTTGTCAGAGCTGTAAATCTCGTTATTCTATGTTTCAGTTTAAGACAAAACAGAAATTGTGTTCAACTCTGAACGTTCAGCGTAAAAAACGTAGTGTTGTCTGAATTTTCAGACTAGAAAAAATAGGTAACTCTGACAGCCAGACTAGGAAGAGGGGTGTACTCTGAGGCGTCAGACTACCTCCAAACGAATCTAGGGGCCTGCTCGGCAGGCTTTCTAACCATGCGCAACAAAGTACCCCCGGGCTCGTCCTCTCCTCGTCCTCACGTGCAGGTGAATAACTACGGGCGAATTAACTCGCCCAACGATGACATCCGTGTAGCCATGGCGAAGAACGCGAGCACGGCGGGAAGTCCTACCGCGGCCTCCGGTGCGAGCTGTGACGGGGACGACGGAGAAGAAGCGAACGGCGACGACGCCGAGGAGGATTGGCCGGAGAACGGCCACGACGACAGCGCTTCGGGCGACGAATTAGGTCCTGCCGACATCGAGGAGGACGAATGGTGGAATCGGCCGGTCGGGAGCGACGACGAGGTGGAAGAGTGGCGGGCTGGAGATTTGGACAATGACGGAGGTGAAAATGCGAATGGTGACAACGCGGAGGCAGCGGCGGATGCACAGGAAGCGGCGATGGATGCGAATGAGGAGGCTGAAGACGGCGCGGCCGAGGCTGACCGCATGATCGAGCCTAGGGAGACGGCTAGGCATGCCTGGCGAGTGCCAGACCTAGGTGTAGAGCCTGTTGTTAGCGCAGGCGAGGAGGCGGTGTCTGAGGGGGGTTAGGTAGAAGTAGAGATTCATGAATGTATGCATGTACCCCCCTAAAGTAAAGAAGGCTCGTTTAGAAGACACCCCTTGTTTGTAAGAAGACCCCGAAACCCCGGTTCTGATTTTTAAGACATATACTATGTCTTAACTCGTACACACAAATAGGTGTCATATAAAAAGGCTAGCTTGTTTATAAGAGACACCCGTATAGTAGACAACCCCTGTCTACTATTCAACACTGTCTTGTATCCGGGCGATGACGGTACAACAGACAGAAATACAGAACAGGAGGGTGCACATCACACATGGCCACCGAGCCAGCAGCGCTAGAACTTGGTCCATTTCCGCAAGGCCTCCTTCTGGGCTGCACTAGAGTGTGCCGAGTCCCGCCCCCCCTGCACGCGCCTCAGCTCCTCCCGGGCGGCAGCCAGCTTGCGGTGCACGGCGGCCAGTGTCACCTTGTCGTGTGCGTGGCGCCCTGCCATCTCCTCGTACCGCCCCACCTGCGCCCGCACCTCCCTCACCCGCTCCTCCTGCTGCATTAGCTCTCGCCGCTCCTCCTCCCGCCCCTTCCCTCCTGCCCCTGGTATAGCACCGGCACATGCTGCCGCCCCTACTACCTTGGCCCCTCGAACTCCTCCCCGGCCCACTCCCCCCATTCTCTCGCTCTGGCTGCCCCCGCCCCCAGCAGACTCACTCCCCGATTCCTTCCTCCCATTCCCTCCTCTATGCACTATCCTGGCCTCATCACCCACTTCCTTCTCTCTGCCCCCCAAGTGCATGTTAATAAAATCAAACACGTCTCCCCTCCTCCCGCCCTCCTCCTCCTCCGCCGCCGCTGCTGCAGCCTCTCTCTCAGCTGCGATCCTCTTCCTGTTCCTCGCCCTCTCCCCTCCCCGACTCTTCTTCCTCTTCTTCCCCTCCTCCCCGCCACCTGCACTCCCATCCCTCGCCCCACCCTTACCCTCCTCCTCCGCCGCCCCCAACCCAGCACCTCCCACCGCACCACCCTTGGCCCCTCGCCTCTCCTTCCCCGGCCGCACCCCAACAGGGGAGGTGATGACTCCACCGTCCCTGCCGAGCCCGGCACCACGTTGGAAGCCCATGCGAGCCATGAGCCGCGATGCCACGCCGCGTGTGTGCTGCTCCCACGCTGCAAACGCCACCGTCTCGCTCTGAGGGCCCGCTGCCGCTGCTGCATGCGCGTGCTGCAGGGAGGCTGCGAGAGATGCTGCTGCTGCAAAGGGGGACGCAGAAAGATGCTCGTCGCCAGCAGCAGCAGCATCGTTTTCATCATCTGACTCATACCCCTCGGCGCTCTCCTCACTGCTGCTGCTGCCAGTGTCAGAGCTGCTGCTCCCACTGCCAGCAGAGCCACGAAGCCCTCTGTCTCCCTCTCCCACCAATCCTGGGACCAAGGGAGGGGCCGTCTCAGCGGCATGGGGGAGGGAGTGGAGGAAGGAGAGGGGCACGACGCAGGAGAGGGGCAGGGCGCAGGAGGAGCCATCGCGCACGAGAGTGACTGTGCAGGTGCAGGCACACGTGGGCAGGTGGACGCCTGCTGATGATGATGCTCCCGGACACGTGGCGTGATGTGATTGGAGCTCTGCTTGCTCCCAGAGGCGGGTCAGGTCGTGGGAGAGCGGGGCGGGTGGGAGCGAGGCGAGGAGAGAGGAGCCGGGGGGGAGGGCGAGCGGGCAGGGGGGAGGGGGGAGGGCGCGGAGGGAGGAGAAGGGGAGGAGGCGGCCGTGGGAGTGACGGCAGCGATGGTGGAAGTGACAGGTGCGCGACAGGAAGAAGCGACACAGCTGGTGCGCACGGGTCGTGGGGTACAGGAACCCCACCCGCACCACTCGCCGCCCTCCCCGCCTGCTGCTCCTTCCCCCCATTCTCCTCCGCTCGTCCCCCTCTCTTCTCTCCTCCCCCCTCCCCTCCCACTCCGCCTGTTTCCCCTGACCCTCTTCGCCTGTCCCTGAGACGTACCCCAACCGCACTCTCTCCTCCACTCCTTCCTCCCCATCCGCACCTCCCTCGCCTGCTCCCGCGCCCTCACTCCCCCTCACTTCCCCTTCCGCCGCCCCAATGTCTCCCCCACATTCCCCTCCCCGGCTGCCAGCAACCTTTTCCACTCCGCCTTCCCCATCCCCCCGATCGTCCTCCGCCCCTTCGAAAGCCAGAACCTCCCCCGCATACCACCTGCCGTCCACGTGGCGGAACAAGCACCGCTGTCCCACGCTCACCCCCCACTCTCCCCCTTTCCCCTCCTCCTCATCACCCCTCTTTGGCTCTTCCCCCCCTCCGCCTTCCGCGCGCCGTTCCCCTCCGCTCGTTCCGCCTATATCGGTCTGCTCCGCGCTGGCCGTTTCTGCCCCTCGAGCCTCTCCCGTTCCGCCACGCGCGGCCGCTTCCGCTGAAAGCCCCTCCGCCAGTCTGTCCGCGTGGCGCAACAGCCGCTGCCGCTTCAGCTGCAGCAGACTCGCCTCGCTCGCTGCCACCGCCTCCGCGAGCTCTCCGCGCACCTCCGCAATCTCCGGGGAGGGTTCCGCCTGGAGCAGCGCGTCCACTTCCGCCAGCGTGGCGCGCTGCGCGGCCAGCTGCGCCTCGAGCTCGTCCTCTAGCAGCCGCCCGTCGGCCTCTTTAGCGTCCATGGCGGCGAAACGCACGCGGAAACAGAGCGGCAGGCTCGGAATTCCGCGCTGTACAGAACCACCTTCGCGATATACGGGACCAGATGATGAATTGAATGAGATTTCCGGCTGGACTAGGGTGGGGGTCACACAAATTGCGTTAGAATACTGGTTGGCATTTTTTAGAAGTCGGAGAAAGTGATTTCTTATTATATTTCCAACATCCATTAGATTCTCCAAAAAAATATCAATAACCCTTTGGGTACTCCATGTGCTTTCTGCTCTACATTTCCATTATACTGTAGAAAAATAAATACCTCTACATGACACATGCTTCTAATTCCTGTGTACTTTGTTCTGCTTGGCATTTCATCTTCTTCCTGCCTGCCTCTATCTCCGCTTTTATCGCATCCCTCTCGCGCTCCAGCTTCTTCTGCTGGTCATGCAGTTGTGTGAGTCTGCTTGCAGCATGCGCAAGCTTTGACCTCAACTGCTCCCTCTCCGCCTTCAGTTTGGAAGCCTGCGCAAGATAAATACAATGGAAGAGGGATAAATACAACGAGACATGCTTACCGTGGTGTGTGCACAGTGCACACAATCACAGAGGCATGACCATGCGAAGACACAAGCCAGCAACATTCCCCTTACATCGGATTCAAGATGTGATAGCAGTTGCTGGCGGCGTTGCCGGCTTCGCTTGGCCGACAGGCGGTTAGAGACCATCCTGCACGGCAGCAGAAAGCAATATTCAGAGCGACAGGCAAAATCCGCAAACATTAGCAGAGATACAAGACCAACGTGTGGACTACAAAAGCGGAGGATCCCTAAAGAGCCAGATTCAAAAGCTGTCGAGTGTCTCACCTGCGCTTTCTCCTCTCCTGCAGAATCTGTTCTACTGTCATGCCCTCCATGCATGCCTCCTCCTCCACCCCCCCTCCCTCATCGCTCTCCTCCTCTCCCACACCCCGCCTCCCCCACTCCCCTCCCTGCTCCGCCATTGTCCCTACTCCCCCTTGCGAAGGGGGGGGAGCAGGGGCGGGATGTCGCTGGGCAGAGCGGAGCACATGCGCTGAGACGGAGGCAGGTGCAGGTGCAGCAGGCATGGCGCCGAGACTGTTGCGCCCGGGGTTGTTGAATGGCACGTTGTCGCAGAGTGCCGTGTCACAGCGCACGCCGCTGTGATTGTACGCGGTGCCGCGTCCTGCGCTTGCTGCGGCGGCGTTGCTGCCACATGACGCGACTCCAGCTGGCGACATCACATGACCACGCGTCGCCCCGTTTCCTTGTAAATGCGCCAGCTCCGCCGACGGTCCTTCCGGCAGGGCAGGGCCAGCCGTGCCGCCCACTAGGCGGCTCAGCCACGCGCTGATGTCGTCGCCTTCCCCCACCAGGCCCCCTTCAGCCACCCCTTGCGCAAGGGGCCCTTGCGCCGCCACGCCTTGCGCCGGCGGCGCGCTCATCCTCTCCGCCACCACTTCCCATGTCGGCGTGCAGCGCGTCGTGACGTCCGCGTTATTAGCGCCCGCCTGCGGGCTGCAAGGACCTCCTTCCTCCACGCGCGGCCCCGTTCCGCGTGTCACGGCGCTAGCGGCGGAAGGAGCGACTAAGGTCGAATTCACGAGCTCCGTCGGCGCGCAACGAGCTGGCATCACCACGATCGGTGTCACCGTGGTTCTCTCTCCGCAATTCACGCCGACAGCGCTCGGGAAGAGCTGCGTGTCCAGCCATGAGCCCGTGTGCTCCGCGGGGCCCCGCGCGGACTTGGCGGAATTGGCCGAGGGACCCGCTGACCACTGCGACAACGGCGGGGAGTGCTGCGGAACAGGCGGGGGACAGGGCCGAAGTGGGGGAAGCGGTGGAGGAGCGGACATCCCGGGGAAGTTCGGCGCAAGGGCGGGAGGAGCGGGAGGGTGCATGTAGACCTGCGCGCTGTAAGGAGACCAGACGACCATCGGTTCGCGGATGCCGAATTGCACGCCGTAATGTGCGGCGTCGCGTGGCGTCCATGTGTGAAATATGCGCGTCGCGCTTCCACCATGACACGCGGCGGCGACAGGCGCGCTTGACAGCTGCGCCGGCTGGGAGCCAAACGACGAATGCGCGGGCGTTTGAGCACCGGAGTCGGCATGGGCGGCGGGAAGCCAGCGCGGTGGGTCCACGGAACTGGAGTCGCCAGAGCCGGTCGTCGCCATGAGCATCCTGCGCGACACGGGAAAAATGGACGAAAAAAAGAATTTTATATTTCCGTCGAATTGAGACGAACTGCTGGAATTGTAGAATTGGCAAAGTTTCGACCATTGATCTGCTGCACTTGCTGCTCGAATGATGTTCGAGCCATTCGTGCGCTACGATGGCTTACTTATGCGCCATGATCTGCTGCACTTGCTGCTCTATCGACCGTTCGATCGCAGCAATCGACTCGTCACGATCGCCGCACCCCATCAGGTCCCTGTCCCGCGTGCCATGAGCCGCCATACCGCTAATAGCTAAGGCGATAAACCGATCAACGAATCAGCACGCGCGACGCGCTATTAGAAAAATTGTGAGCGCGAAACTCCAAGAGACAAGCAGGAAGACGCGAGAGTGGTCCCTTGCTCTGGTGATATGGGAGGCTCAAGGAAACTGGATGCGCTTGAAACAACGAGGATTCGTACTAGGGGACCTTGAGAAGCTATAGGATCTGGAAAAATATCAGCAAAGCTAAGAAGGAAAATATATCAGTCTAGATTTTTCCTTGCGTGCTTTATGCTTTGCACTACTCGTCTTTACAGGAAAAGCACGTGACGCAGACATTTGTCGAGCGTACTCAAGCTCAGGCCCTGCGGAAGTTGAACGAGACGCGAGAAAAAGATTCCGTGAGTTGGCAAGTTGATCGAGCATGGCGTCACATTCACGTGGAACATTGACATGGTGGTTGAGCGTGACGGCGAAAAAAACATATGTTCGCGAGAGGCTGAACAGCAGCATTCAACGAGCGGCAGCAATACAACTTCATGCTGAGCTCATGGAGATGGGAGGAAAACGCAGAAAGGAATTGGGAGGAGCTAGAGAACAGCTTGTTCGAGTGCGCAAGTCGCGCAATTTGGCGCAGGATTCGCGCGAAAACGGAGCATTTCGCAGGCAGCACAGGGAAAAGAGGAAGGAGGAGATGTGGGGTGGAGCGGACGTCAGCCTTATGTTGTCTCGTAGCGTTTCCCAAAGAATGAAACTTACTTTTCTGGTTTCGTGTTCCCCTGAATCCTTCATATTGCGGGCTAAGAGTAGGAGCACAGCCGTCCCTTCAACATAAAAAAAGGATGACCTGCCATATATTTGAGCAATCTTCAAAGCTAGCGCTAGCATTCCTTGAAAGGTTTCCAAATTTATCAACACATGGTCTTGAGGCGAACAGAGAGGCCCTTCCGAGTGTGCCCGTAAGGTGGAGCCAAAGGCTCGGCGCGTGGAGAAATATCTGATCAGATATTTCCGAGATGTCGTACAAGTTGCTTGACGTTTGCTGCACCACCCATACAAAGCAAACAACAAGCTGTGGCCTGCCACGTGCCTCGATGGCGACCATTCGTCACCATACCAAGCGTGCTGATGAATGATTCGAATTCTCGATACCACGATGCGTTGTCTCGTTATGAAGTTAGAATTTGAAATATTTGCTACAGCGTGACAACTCTTATTTGCTAGTTTCCGTTTATATTTTTCGGTATTAAACGTGTGCACAACAATCAACTACCATAATCCACTTTCCACCCCACGCTGAAATGCAGGTGGGCCCTATTAACATGTATTGCCTACCTCTACTTGCAACAATTCAAGAGGTTACGTTCTCTGTACTCTGTATTCTAAGCAACTGTTTTTAATCTACCACATCAGCCTGCACCTTAGGCATGGTGTTTCCATGGTGGCAGAAAAATCGTTAGAAAAGCTTGCTGTGACAGCCGTTCGCACGAATAGCAACTAAGCCATCTTGCATCTGCTGACGCACCGTCGTACCATGTTGCCCATTGGACCAGGCTACACATACAACTGCAAGACAGATAAGGGAGGAGTGAATAAGAACATACGCTATGACCACGTTGCACTGAACAACGTTATGACCACGCTGCACTGAACAAGTGCAACTCAAGCTCATGTGCTGGAAAACAGTGGTGTGATGAGCAGTAATAACAAGGACTGCACAGGCAGCATGGGCTGGCCTTCAGCCCAGCTCAAAGGTCCCTTTTGATTGAGTGATGGCGGAAACGTTGGTGGTACGATGCACGTCTGATCCCCAGGAAATTCGAGATCTGCGGCATTTACCGTACCTCTATATCATATTACTTAGAGCTAGAGTGCTCGTCCGAAGGCCACAAAGACTGACTCCAGTGCTTAGGTTGGTCCTGCATCGGCCCAAATAGTATTCAATAACCTTTCACAGTGTATTAATCCAGCACGAGGGAAAAACGCCCAGCGATTACCGTGCTGCGCTCTCGCAATTCTATCCGCCGCTGCGCCTCTATCGCGGTCACCTTGTCGTCTGCAAAAGCGAGAACGAAAAAACTAAGTATATCGTGGTTTTTAACGGGCCGAAATCTGCGGGGCGGAGATAAACGTACAAAAACCAGTCTTAATCATGAAAGCCTCCATGGCAGCGCCGGTCAAGAAGCAAACTGCAGATAGTTTCGCATACCACTTCCATCCAAACAGATTCAATGGGCGCTTATGATGTCCTCCAGACAGCGAAGGCCTATTGCCATGCATGCGGAGTCTAGTGCGGCTCACTCGAAGCAAGCAAGTGCGACTTTGCTGAAGCGAAGGGACAGGACGAGGGAAAATTGCATTGACAAGATCGTAAAACGGATGTACAAGGAATTACATCCACGCTACTGCATGGACGCTACACGTGTTTATAGCAAAATGTTTTTCGTAAACTTCAGTTAGACTATGGTCCAAAATCAGAACATTCCACTTTTTTCGCTCATGCATTCGATGGTTTCCTTATGCCACTTTTTGCATCAACAGCCTAACATCAGTAGACTTGCTTCGATCGTCAGACTACGTAGGTCTACCATAGTCAACTACATCTGCTTGTGCGGTTCCAGGACATAGAAGTTTGCATTCGATGCCCGTTGCCTCGACTTCCGGTCGTTTTTGTGTTAGTCTTTTGCCTAGTTAGCTACTTCGATCTGCTGGCTTTCTGTGCTCCCGCAACGAACCGCAGCGAACAGGTGTACCGAAGTGTCACACACAGCGATTTAGACGGCGGTTCTTCAACAGAGTACTATAAATGGTTCGTGACGCTTCGTCAAGTTGTTACGTGTTTGCGTCACTTCCACGTGCTGACTCAGTTCCTTGGCCGCGCAGAGCATATTACTGCAGTCCGGCCTCTTTGGCCTTGGTCCACCGTGCTCAATCGCTATAAATTTCGAAGACGCAGAGACGCGAAAACAAGTAGGTGGTCCCAGCGTATTAGTCTTGCCCCGATTTCTATATTGGAGCTCAGATCCGTCATCTGAACGTTATTAATGTGTGGGTACCTGCAGGCGTCCGTTAAGCGGGAGAGTGGCCAAACAGAGTTAGTGCCCTTGTTTCATGGCCAAGACACGGTCGCGGGAGAGGTAGAATCCTTACGTTTTGGCTGGTAGGTGCTGATACTAGGCATACATGTCTAACTGATACTCGGGTAATGTGACAGGTGAGGATAGAGCCTTTGCCGGGGAAAAAAATCGAACACACCGGAGTCAAGATCGAGCTGATCGGCCAAATCGGTCAGTGCTGTGCCCTTTTAGCTTCAGTAAAACGTGTGGGTTCCCTTATTGGTATTTTACCGAAATGTTTTTTGGTTCACTTGTACTTCCTCAGAGCTTTTCTTTGATCGCGGAAATTTCTACGATTTCACCTCTCTCGGTGAGTACCATTTGGGGAAGTTAAAGATACGGAGATGGTCGTCTCTCATAGCACGCTGACACGAATTTGCTGAAGCGTGGTCGTTGCAGTGAGAGAGCTCGACATTCCTGGCGAGATATCCCAGAGGAAGATTTACCCTTTTGAGTTTCAAAACGTAGAGATGCAGTATGAGTCGTACAACGGGGTCAACGTTAGACTGAGGTACGTACCTTGTAATGCTTGTGGTCACATCGTGGATTTCCTGTCACGTTTGAATTATGCCACTTAGTGTTCCATATTGTTCAGGTACATTCTGAGAGTGACTGTCAGTCGAAACTATTCTTCCAACATTGTCAAGGAGAAGGACTTCTGGGTATGTGAGCCGCTGCAATATTCATCTTTCCTTCTCTGTCACACATTCAAAGGGCTTGTTGTGACCTTTTGCTATTGGCAATCTCTGCAGGTACGGAATATCTTGAAAGAGCCGGAAATCAACAACACAATCAAGGTGGGTATGGACTTCAGTGCTTAGGGTTGCAGCCCTCCCGACTCAGCCTGAGCTCTTAGAAGCCCCTGCTTCGTGTTTGTGCAGATGGAGGTCGGCATTGAGGACTGTTTACACATTGAGTTCGAATACAACAAATCAAAGTAAGCTATTGCAATTGTTGATTGGGAGTCCTTTGTTTCAGGTGTTACTGTCAGTTCATGCCATCTGACTTGCGATTCTTGTGTGTGGTACTTTCCAGGTACCACCTGAAGGATGTAGTAATAGGGAAAATCTACTTTCTACTGGTTAGAATCAAGATAAAGCACATGGAGCTGGAGATAAGGCGACGTGAATCAACGGGTTCAGGGCCGAATACTTACAATGAGAGCGAAACTCTTGCCAAGTATGAAGTCATGGATGGAGCTCCAGTAAGAGGTGAGTCTTCCGGATTTAGGGCTCTCTTGTATTTGCTTCTGAACTCTCTCAATACCTTGTAGATTGTAATATCCCTCGGCTTCTTTCAGACAATTATTTTGCACTGGCCCATTTTGCTTCACGCTGCCCCTTCTCCCTCCCTTTTTCCGTTCATGTTTTTGTTGTGTGTACAGGCGAGTGTATACCCATCCGGCTCTTCCTCAGCCCATATGATCTAACACCCACCTACCGCAACATCAATAACAAATTCTCAGTCAAGTACTTTCTCAACTTAGTGCTCGTGGACGAGGAGGATCGTCGGTACTTCAAGCAGCAGGAGATCACCTTATTTCGAGCCGAGTGAAGGCTAGGAGAGCTGCGGTTTGTGTGTGCCACGCTTGCATATATTAGACCCAAGGTTTGCTATGTGTCAGCACATAGTCAATTAGCCAGTGCTTGTCTGTGGGTCACCTCAGTCCATGCTGAAGTTCTGTAGTAATGTGGTGACCTGAAACTGCAAGTTCTCAACTTGTCCCGAATTGCTGTATGTACGCGACTAATTTCTCTCAACGAGCATGACCTGACTGAAACATTTATCGACTGTCTTCATTGAACGGTGGTTCAGCTCACAGCATCACGAGCTTGTGCATTCCTTGCCCCACCACCACGGTTTGTTTTCCAAGCCAGCGTCATCATAACACTCCGTCTCTAGGTGCCGTCATCCTAGCGTCGCAGTTTGTAGTCGCTTCAACGGAAACACCATCGCAAGCTATCCTCGCGATAGCATCTAGTCACGAATCGTCGTGGCGGCGTTGACGGGCATGGCAATGTCAACGTGCACAGCCGCTGCACGTTGCGGGTGCAGCCCGAACTCACTGTTTCATTCGCCAAATGTCGCATGGCGGGACTTGCGGCGGCCCACACCAACCCTTCGTGCTTCGTCAAAGCCTCTCAGCCTCACCTCCTCTGCCCATTCACAACGGATTCGCTCGCCCTCAAACCTTCCGTTGCACCCAGTCTTTGCGAACCGTAGACGACGGAGGATAGTCGTCGTGCGAGCTGGCGACTTCGACGGCGACGACGACGACGAGGGGATGGAGTTCGACGCGGAGGATCTCGATCTGGACGCCGAACTAGAGGTCGAAATGGACGGCCGAGATGATCTCTTCATGCTAGACGATCCCTCCGCGTACGGCCTCGACACAGGGGCAATGGGTCTGACGGGAGACGCGGCGCTTGCGCGCGCGGGCGGAGGGGTGGTGGTGGCGGAGCGGGAGGGCGCGGACGCGGTGGTGCGCGTGGAGTACAAGATCGAGGAGGCGGCGTTCCACTGCATCGCCATGGCCGCCTGCGACCTCTTCGTGCGACGAGGGGGCGACGGCGGCGAAAACGACGTGTTTGATTTCTCCGAGGTGCGGAGATGGCTGCGGGTACAGGTCTGGGGTGTGCAGGGCTGGGGGGACAGGGTTGGGGGGACAGGGTTTGGCAGGTGGGTTGGAAGGATCCAGATGAGAAGGGCAGCGAGACGAAGACTGTATGGTCGATCAAACACGCGGAGAAGCTGTGCTGCTTGGTGTCTCCATTCTCATTGCCTGTCCCTGCCCCGGCTTTCGTCTCCCCCCCACCACCCTCATCGCAATCCGCATCCCTGGCATATGGCATCTTACCCATCATGCCCTGCATCCTCCCTCTTCCCTTTACCCTCCCTCTCCCGTCCTACACTGTGCGCTGTGCCGTGCCATGCCCTGCCCGTTCAGGTGTATTTTGCTCCGCCCGGAAGTGACGTCTACTCCATTCCCAGCAAGCTTGCACCACTGCCCTCACAGGTACGCGGGAACAGGCAGCGCCGCGCAGCTACTAGAGGGAGACATGCTTGCCGATTCCACATGCGTGACTGCCTTGCATGCACCGTCAAACCACGTCGGTCACTCGCTGCGTTGACTGCTACCTTCCTCCCCCCATGCCCTGTTCACCAGCCCTGATCTGCGTCGTGCTCATGCCTTCCACGGCCCCCCTTCCCGCCGCCCTGCCACCCTGTCTGTCCATGTCAGCCGATCCGGTGCCAGGTGGGGCGGTGGACGTACATAGCGGGGAAGATCCTGCCACACTCCACCGACCCGTACAAGCCCAGCGCCAAGGAGATCGAGGAGGTCACCAAAGTGAGCGTGGGGGGCATGTGGCCGCGCAGGCACATGGTGCTCATGGGGTCTCCAGCATGTGCACTGAATTGCCGAGATCCTCATTTCAGTTTCCGCTTTTACGGACATCCTCTTATGCCCCATTGTATCACTTATGCCCTCTCTCAGTGGCTGAACATGATCCACACGCATCAACCCGTCTCACACTCCTCGGGACGCATCTGCTCCCTGTCCCCGTCCCATTGCCCCATCAGGTGTTTTTCATCCGGCACCTGAACGACGTGCCCTACGGCTCGCGCGAGTTCGTGTTGGACTTTGAGGAGGTCTATGTCTTTGACGGCCACGACAAGACACTGCGCCGCGCCAACGTCATCGTATGGCCTCACCGCCTCTATTCCACCCATGTGCCCACGTGCTCGAACGTTCCACCATCGACTATTCATCACGGCTGCTCATCTGCTGCTTCTGCTGCTGATACTGACGATCGTTGCCATCATTACTCTCGTTTTCACATCCAGTGCCCATCCCTGTGCTCCCCTGTGGCAGTTGGATTTGCCTGAGGACCAGCAGCGCGACCGCAGAAACGAGACTCTGATTGTCAGGGACGATGGCAACACCTTCCGAATCATTCCCAAGGTGAGAGTGGGCCAATGTGAGTAAGCGGGGACTAGGAGCCGTGAGTAAGGATGGGACGAGGAGGGGGTTGAGCTGGCGGTTTTACACATTGGTGTGGCTCCTCAATGTGACAGTTCTGTAGCCCTTCTCTTCCTTTCCTCTCCCATCCGTCCCTCTCTTACCCACACAGCTCAATCACCAAGTGTGCATTAAAATCCTAACCATCTGTCCATGTCCTATGATACCCACCCGGCTTGTGCCCCCCAGGAGAGGAAGCGCAGTGCAGATGATGTGATTCAAGAGGTGCATTGGAAGAGGACAAGAGAGTCCATGGAAAACTACCTCCGAGGCTTCCGTGACTTCCACAAATCCAACTGGTTTTAACATTGTAGCGGTCTACCTTGTTGTTGGATGATAGAGTTCAAGAGTCTTGGCGCTTTGCAACAACTCAATACCGTACAAGCATCAACGAAGTTGATGAAATTATATGATTCACCAACAACCCAACAGGCAGCATGCCAAGCCAAGCGTCCCCGCTGCGGAATGAGCAGCTGAGGTGCACTTGCAAGGCTCTAAGCTCTTCGTGTATGTAACCCTGTAACGTCAAAACGCTTGGGTTGGCATCCCCCTGTGCTCCAGTTGTGGTCACATTTCCCCTTTTTCCAAAATTGGTAAAAACAATACCGTATCACGAATCTCCACGAAGTGTCCCTAGGCGGAGAGCGGAACAGCAGCAGCGCCCCCCCCCATCCGGCGCTGCTGGAGCGCGGGCGCGGCGAGGACGCGGCGCACGACGCGGCCGCCGAAGGCGTGGACGAGGATCCAGGGGTGGGAGAGCAGCTTGGCGGCGGAGGGGCGTCGGCGCGGGTCGCGGTGCAGCATGCAGCGGAGCAGCCCCTTGGCCTCCGCCGACACCCCCGCCCACGCGCCGCTCGTCAGGTCCAGCGGCGCCTCCAGCACGGCGCGGAACACGCCGTTGTCGTCCGCGCCCCAAAACGGCGGGCTGCCGCTCAGCAGCACGTACAGCACCACGCCCAGCGACCACACGTCCGCCTCCACCCCGTACTCGCCTGTCAGTACTTCCGGCGCCATGTAGAACGGCGAACCCGCGACGCCACACGCGCGATGTCCGGGGGGGATGGGAACTGCGAATCCAAAATCGGCGAGCTTGGCAGTGGGGAGTCGTGAGGTGTCTGAGGATGCGAGGAGGATGTTTTCGGGCTTTAAATCGCGGTGCATTATGTTCTTCGAGTGACAGAACGCGACGGCGGAGGCGATTTGGCGAAAAATAAGCGCGGCTTCTCTCTCCGGTAACCGCCCGCGTCGCACGACTTCGTCGAATAGTTCGCCACCGTCGCACAGGTCCATGACGAGGTGAACCTGTCGCTCGTCTTCAAAAACCCCGCGCAATTGGACAACGCCGGGATGCCCCGACACGCTGCGCATCGCCGCCACCTCGCGCCGCATCTCGTCCCGCGCCGGTGACGTCAGCAATCGGTCTTTAATGATTGTTTTGCACGCGAAGGCCTGATTCGTTGCATTCTCGACGCACCGCCTCACAACGCCGAATTGCCCCGCGCCAAGCGTCGCTGACTCCACGGTGAAATAATTCTCGAGCTTGCCCGTGTGGTTGTCGAAGATTGACCAGAATCCCGGCCTCGAGGCCGATGCGGGAGGAGACGTGTCCAATTGAGCAATTCTCGTCTGCTTCGGGGAGCGCAAGTCAGACCCGACGAGCGCGGACTCAATCTTGCGTTTTTTAGGGCCGTCGAGCGACTGGTTCCTTCGTATCCCAGGCGCTGATTCACGCGGTAAGTCGTCTGATCCTGATTGAGCCATGGGGTGGTAACGAGATGATATGGTTGAAGTGCGATGTCGGACTTTCAGAATGAATGACATCTCTGGAGGTGATGGGCATAAAGGCTGGTGGGCGGGGATTGTGGGGGAGCGAGGCAAACGAGCGAACACACACGCGTCTTGACTGCTCGAAGCGCGAGGACCATGAAATTCCGCGCAACGTGGCGAATCAAGAGGTCTGTCAATCCGATGAGACTAAGGGGGTGTCCAGCTCGTTCATTTACTGTTCGTAAAGCCCTTCAGCTACCAAAATTAGCGTTGTAACACGGATTTTTACAAAAATGCCGGACAAGATCGGCTCCCGTTCAAGATACGGCACACCCCTTGCACGTACCTCGAATCGTGTGACGCACGTTACAGGTATCAGCGTGCGCATCGAACAATGGTACAGAACCGCGTCCTGCCCACTACAGTGAGTGCCCAGTGTGTCGCGCGCTTGATTTCGCCTGTGCCACCTGACACTCGCCAAAACCAGTAGAGGAAGTGTTGGCTTGGCGAAAATTCCATCGCTTGGGTTGACGAGAAAACCGGTTATCTCGGTTTCCTCATGGCCCCTGCACTGTTGAAGTCTGTGTGGTGGGAACGTGTCCGCGCGCTAGAATTGACAAAAAGGGTGGAATCGACGCAGCGCGAATTCGTTTTTAGGTACAGTGATTAGTTTTGAACCCCAGATCGTGAGGTAGTACTCGTTTTCCGAAATGAACGAGCTGGACACGCCCTGAGGTTCAGCTGTTTTGCAGCCCCTCTGGCGTAAGATTTATCCTACAACATTGCTGAAGTTATTGTTGTTTTACGTGGAAAATGCTGGTGAGCCGAGCAAAATATATTCAGCTTAATCTTATTCCTATCGAATGTTCTTTTGACGCGGTAACCAGGTTGGCATGGACAGGTGTACGGTTGGATGTGTAGTTTCTTTCCCCCCTCCGCCACCCCCCTCCCCCACCATCCAGTCCAGAGCTGAGGAGATTGCTAGATATTTCTCGCCTCGGCTGATCTGATGTGGAAGGAAGCGATGTTTTTCGTTCAAGCAAGAGGAAGCAACAATCGGGCTGTCGAAGCATTTCCCCTGGATGTACACTGGCGTTTCGATCTGGATTTCGATTTCGATTTGTATATACTGCCTCCTCAAGAGTCAAGAGCCTATGCTTCCGCCCAAAATCCAGAACAAAACGTCGGAGTCGGGCTGTGTCCTGGTTGGAGCAGTATACCCAGCTCTTCGCAATACTGTACTGTATCCTCTGATTCTTTAGACATGTCTTTGAAGTTACACTGTTTAGCAACCCGTCGAAAGAGGGACGGAAGGTGTTACAACCTAAGCACCCGAAACCCTCTAAAGCTTCAACAAGAGACTCCAAAAAATGCCGCAGTGATCGGTGGGAAAAAAATGCGGATGGCAGACGTTTCTGAAGGTGGGTATGGTGGAAATATCGGTAGATTTCAAAGGTGTGGGGGGGAGGGAAGGAACCATTTTTTAATTTCCAGGCAGTCGGGAAACACAGGGTTTTTACTGTATATAACCAGTCTAATGCGCAGGAAACTTTACATATGTACGTGAAATTCGAGTTGCGAAAGCGCTTCTGGCCTCAACCTTTCAAGCGGGATTACGATGGTGGTCGCCTCAGTCAGATGCCGCAAGGCCACAGATTTATGCTGGTGCACCGTGGCTTCTCTCACTGTTTGCCAACCCGCGACTCTCATCCATCCCACAAGCGCGTGCACGTTCTGTTCAGCAGCTGGCTCCTTCATTCCCGTCCTCAGCTTGCCTTGCTTTGTGGATCAAATATGCGATTTCTTCCTGCCCGATTGCCCAAAGGAAGTGGAAGAGAATTGTATGGGTGGGTTGAAAGGGTTTTTAGGACGTGTCTCGGTTCGTCTCGGGTTGCCTCGATCAGACACGATCGATAACTTCCAGGAAGGTGAGGAGGCGATTTCATGCAATCAGGGGCAATCACTTGATCGCGATCAGCTTATCGCCCCAACTCGATCAACCGCGAAAACAGCCCAATCAAACACAATCACCAACGATCACTTGATTGCATTTGATTGGGGTTCTACGCGACGCTGGCGAACAGTTACATGGAAACACTCAAATTCGCATGTTTCTGGGTTGGCTCTTTTTGCGACATTACAGGGAAACACTCAAATTCGCATGTTCCATGCCGAGGGTTTCGCAGTTGCCAAAGTGGGCCCGAAAGTGGCAGGAAATGTTTGTACGCCTGCTATGTAACCTCGTGGAGTGTTCGAGGAAAATATTCTCTGATCGGGCGGCGCGAGCTGTCCAAACAAAGGCAACCCGATCAGATCAGCCCCGACCAGATCACAGCCGACCAGAGACGAACCGAGACACGTCCTTATACGGGCCATCATAAAACATTTCAGAGTTATCACGAGCAGTCACGTCGCTATAACGAACGGTCACAAAACCCGCCGAATCTATCACGAACCATCACACGGGTATCACCCGCCGTCACTCAAAGGCACTAAAATCTATCACGGGTAGTCACGCTCGAAAGTTTGCTCTCACAGATGAATCCCGTCATCATTTCGTTGACCCGCCCTGAAATACTGTACAAATTTATGGTCTATATTTCGGGTTGGCTGTTTTTGTCTTGTATACGCGACCATTTTGGTCGCAAAGATACCGTACGTGGTTACGTTCGGTTCGACGTAACACACAATAATAAAATAAAAAGAATGAATGATTTTTAGCACATATATACATTGTTGGATTTCACAATTCATTGAATCTGCCTAAATTTTTATCAGGAGGATAAACCATCCATGACTTGGAACGATAAACGAAATATAAATTGTGCGTTACAAGTCATGTATGGTTTATCATCTTGATAAACATTTACGCAGATTCAATGAATTCAGAAATCTAGCAATATATATATGCGTTAAAATTCTTTCATTGTTTTTATTATATCATTGTGTGTTACGTCGAACCGAACGTTACCAGGTATCTTTGCGACCAAAATGGTCGCGTATACAATACAAAAACAGCCAACCCGAAATATAGTCCCTATATCTGTACAGTGTTTCACGGCGGGTCAACGAAATAATAACAAGGTTCATCTGTGAGAGGAAACTTTCGAGTGTGACTACCCGTGATAGATTTTAGTGAGAAACTTAGAACGAGAATGGATTGACTAAGGAATGAAAGTGATACAAATATGAAACCCTAGAATTGTGTACCCCTTAGTATCTAACCCGCTATATGTTAGAACATTATAGCTTATGCTTTTGTGTAGGCTGTAGTGGGGTATCCCATAAGGGGTACAACCCAATTAGGGTTAGTACTTGTACCCAGTTCATTCATAGTTCATTCATTCTCGTTTCAGTTTTCACATGGTATCGAGCAGCTTCCCTCGTGGGAACTGTGCCTAGGGCCCACCAAGTCGAAAGTTTTTTTTTCCTGCCCGGAGCGCGCTCACCCCGAGTCGCGCTCCCCTCTCTGACTTCGTCGAGCCGCCCTAGCGGCCAAGTCGCGCCGCCTTAGCGGCCCCTGATTCGTCGCCCTAGCGACCCCGTCGCCCTACCTACGGCCCCGGCCCCGTCGCCCTACCTGTGCCTCGGCCCCGTCGCCCTACCTGCGCCCCGGCCCCGTCGCCCTACCTGCTCCCCGGCCCCGTCGCCCTACCTGCGCCCCGGCCCCGTCGCCCTACCTGCGACCCCGGCCCCGTCGCCCTACCTGCGACCCTGGCCCCGTCGCCATACCTGCGGCCCCGGCCCTAGCCCCGTCGCCCTACCTGCGCCCCGGCCCCGGCCCCGGCCCCGTCGCCCTGCTTGCGACCCCGGCCCCGTCGCCCCACCTCCGACCCCGGCCCCGTCGCCCTACCTGCGCCCTGGCCCCGGCCCCGTCGCCCTACCTGCGTACCGGCCCCGTCGCCCTACCTTCGACCCGGCCCCGTCGCCCTACCTGCGGCCCAGCCGCCCTACCTGTGGCCCACCCGCCCTACCTACGGCCCCGCCGCCCTCACCTGCGGTCCCCGCCGCCCTTACCTGCGGTACCCGCCGCCCTTACTTGAGGTCCCCGCCGCCCTCACTTGCGGCCCCGCCGCCTTCCCTGCGGCCTCGTCACCTGCTGCAGCGCCGCCCGCCACCCGAGCCGCCCGAGCCGCCTCACCTAGCCGAGCAGCCGACCGCCGCGCCGCCGTGCAGCAGCACAGCCGAGCCGCCCAGCAGCCGAGCAGCCGAGCCGCCCTGCAGCCGAGCCGCCCAGCAGCCGAGCCGCCCTGCAGCCGAGCCGCCGTGCGACCGAACCACCGAGCCGGCGAGCCGCCCTACCTCCGAGCCGCCCGAGCAGCCCCGTCCGGTAAGCACAGCGCCTCTGTCGCTGCACTGCCCTTTCCCTACTGTGTGCGCTGCTAGTTTACTGTTGTCATGGCTACCCCTAGTGTCCTTGCTTTTGACACCGAGGGTCGAGCCATTGACTTTGACGTCTGGGTAGATGACCTACAGCTGTTCTTACAGTGCGATAGGGCAGACGGTCTCTCCCTCTTTCACCTCACCTCTGGTGCCTCTCCTGCTCCTGCTGCTGATGCTGACGCCACTGTTCGCTCACAGTGGGCCACGCGCGATGCTGC